GATGTGCTGTTATTCCTTGATTCACACTGCGAAGTCAACATAAGCTGACTCCCACCTCTTCTTGATCCTATTTCTAAGAACAGTAAGACAGTTACTTGTCCCTTCATTCATATGATTGATGCTGATAATTTTGAACATCGTGCTCAAGACGGTGGAGTTCGTGGAGCTTTTGACAGGAATTTTAACTGCAGGTGGCCTCCTAGGCTGCCAAAAGACAATCTTTATCCTGAGGAGCCTTTTGCTAGTCCTGTGATGGCAGGGGGTTTGTTCGCTATTAGCAGAGATTGGTTTTAGGAAATTGGAGGTTATGACCCTTTTCTTCATATTTAGGGCGGAGAGCAGTATGAACTGTCTTTTAAAATATGGATGTGCGGCGGCCGTTTAGTTGATGTCCCATGTTCCAGAGTTGGACACGTCTTTCGAAGATACCCAACTAGCTTCCCCAAAGCGGAGTCAGAAAACTTTCTTTGTCGTAGTTACAAGTAAGCTGTGAACTTATTACACCGCTTCCGGATACCTTTCTAAGTGGACATTATGAAACGTTCACAACTAGTTGGACAATTTGGATTTAATTTATTTCACAAAATTTATGCTTGATAGCAAAGCTAAATGGATAAAGATTTTAAGTAGTACCTTTTCAGTAAGTTCTGCCCAGTGGCTATCATACCAGCGCATTAAAAAGTTTCCGATGCCATGTTTACCCTGGTGTGTCATCTGATTTCATTCCTTTGACAAGTGGGTCAGTTAGCATGCAACAAATAATTTCACTCATAGCACTTCTTCTAATGGCCGTACTATGGTTAATGTTGTTTCTGCTACCTTATTGAGTAGCTTTGTCATGACAACTAAAGTTCCTTCAATAATTGTTTTCACGACACGTGAAATAATGAAACTACCTTTATTTGCTATGATAGGCTGTCTAAGAAAGTGCATACCAGGTGATCAAGGTATATAAAGTGCTGTAGGCTGGTAACCGAAATCTTTGGGCACATTAGCTCGAAAGTGTTGTAAGTGTGACAAATGTGGCGTCTGTCTATCTTTCTCGATACGGTGAGTAATCTGTTTAATTGTAATTTCTCTCTTTTTACCTTCTCTTTCCTGCCTACTCTAACTCGTTTTTTTTTCAGTTGACTTTGTACTGTAGTTCCACAGATTTTAACAAATGAAACCAGTACAAGACTTGTGAAGTTTAGAATTGTTCTTTACATCAGTTCGTTCTCACTCATACGAGCGAATTTCGCTGCTGATCTCAGACTACTCTGTCTGCAGATGAGGTTGAAAAAAACAACAAACCATGTGGCCTCACATCTGACTTGGTAGTGTGTGAAGAATACAGTTACGTCTATTTTTACTTACATTTATCGTCATACTTATTTCTGACATCTGAAATCCTTAAGTAGTTTGAAATTTTGGAGTATTTTTAGCCATTATGCTGCTGTTTAAATCAGATTCATTTTGAAGATGATATTGAGTATATTGAAACCTTTAAACACTGATACACTGGGAGTCAGATGTTTTCCAACAAATTCATTCTCATTTTTGCGAAAAAGTATACATATAGAGACTTCAAGTGAACAGAGAAACTGTGGTTATTTCGAAGTAATTTGGGGTTTCTATCTTTTTTTAAAGAACATCTGCTTGCCTTTCTGAAGTCCATGAAATGCTTTTATGAAGAAATAAACACCGCCTGATCAATGCTAAAAGTTTTTAAAAGCAAACAAAACATTTCGAAATTCACCCAACGACTGACTTTCTAATGGAAAAACTGCAGCTCTTACTTATGGCCGTGTCTCTTTTGCATTTAGACTGACCTCTGTTCTCTATTAATAGGCAAAAGCAGTTCTCCACTTGGCCAGTTTATTAACATGTAAATACCCTTTCACTTTTAAAAAGTGTAGGACGGTTATGAAGACATTCCAACCCTGGGATTTAGAATGCAAAACTCCATCTAAGTGAGTTATACTATGATTCGCCAGCACAAGGAATTCCATGGTGATATGTCGTTTATGAACATATTCTTGTGAAGTTTGGGGAAGATTGCAACTGTACATCCATGAAACAGCAATCCCAGCAGATGCTGCTGACTTGTAAAACCCATTACGGTGAAATTTTTGGGTCACTCAACGTCATTCACGTAGATGATAAATAGTTTGATTTAATGGTGTGTGATGGAATAGGAAAACAAATGTAATTTTCAGAAGGCTAGAACCAGAAAGTTTGATTTCCTTACAGTTCAAACTTTACGTGAAATATATTTACAACGAAGAAAAAATATTCATTTTGGTCATTTTATTCTTTTCTGATTGATATCACTGAACAAGAAAAGCAGATTGTCCGAAAAACTAAGGAGTAGAGTGTTTGTGATTTGTATTGTCGGTAGGCATTTTATTTCACGCCATATTTTAGCCTCACACTGTGTGACCAAGGCTATCTTATTCAAGCTACTCGATACTCTGTTACAAGAAAATACAAGTATAAGTATACTCCTTTACAACACTTCGAATAGTCTTATCATAAATATTTGAGTAATATAAAGAATATTAGAAACGAGAAAATTTTACATTGTTAGTTACACTATTTAAACGAGATTTGTAACTGTTACAAAGTTGATGTGTGATTTCTGTTCCAACACCTTCTTCCTCACAAAATATGCATGCTAGGTAAGGTACAGTAGAATTCTTATACTTAGGTGTACAGCTTTATCATACCAACTGGATTGCAAGGAAGTACTCTCATGCATATTTAGACTATGATATTATCGCCTAGTTTCCTAATTTCAACTTAGTCTAAGAAAATAACTCAACAAGTCGTAAATGAATGGTTCTTAGTACCCCATTTTCTGACTGTTGATTTATACTTTCTAAGGTGTTGGTTACCATAAAAGAGAGGTATATTCTCTCTTCACTTCTTTGAAGTGATAGGAATCAACAGTTAGAGGATTTTAATTGTATGACCAAGAGGTAGTTACAATGGCTTAGATTTATGCGCACTGTATCATATTCAGGGTCTTGAATATTTTCATCAACCTGCAAGTTTAAATTATAACTAAACTATTTTTCCTTTGAGTAAACGGTGTATGTATTAGGCAATAAACCAGTAAGAAAAGAACGTCGGTTTGGCTACATTTCATACAAAAGTTTTACACGATATCACAGCTTCTTTCAAATTTGATTAGAAGATATGGATCAGCGCTTCTCTGAAATATTTACAACTGTACAATCCCTGTTCAGAATAAACTACGACATAAGGATATATTTACTAAGTATGTCTTTAAGTACCAGATGATAGATTAAATAAGTAAGAACAGTATTACAAATTGAACTGATCATGAATCTATTTGAATTCCTACAGTAGTGTTTTATCAATACAATATAGTAAAAGAATTTTATTACTTATACAACAGGAACTTATATCTGATGAACAATTAACATTTCTTATAGACGTGTTGTTGAAGTATGGATGGATGAATACAAAGAGTATATCTATAGAAGGCTTCAGCAATGTAGAAAAACAGATCCTGGTGATTTATCACAGCAACACAGTCATCATTCAAGTGGTTTATGACAGGAATTGCTTTTGACCTAATAAAAATTTATCCCGTAACGAAGAAAGTAGTGTTTGCTTCTGGAAAAATACGTTCAGTAGCCTTTCCGTATTTATGCTTAGATATGACTGAAGCCACACAGGTCATTCCGGTCCGTCTGCGTCCATGTATGAAGAGCAGCAATTTCATCTAGCAAAACTTGTTTTTCGTCCTTCGTTCGTTAGCAGTACTTTAGGTTTAGATATTTTAGTGACTGGTGTTTTATTTACAAAAAAAACTATGCACATACACGCTATATTTGATGAAACTGGTCCAGTGCGGGTGTTAAGCAACGCAGTCAAACTTCTGCAAGCCTTCCAAAGGGAGACTCGAAAGTCTCTTTGATAGGACCTGCAATGAAATTACCGAATATTTTGATTCGTTTCACAAGATAAACAAGCCACGTTACTCTGAAGGAAATTTTGTATTCGTTTGACTCGAAGGAACTGATTTAATGTCCAGTAAGCTAGAAATAATCACTTTTGAAAGTGTCAGCTAATGTCATCCTAAGTGCCCTTTAAGTTTTGAAGGAGTTGTAATTCGAAAATCTCAGTAAAAAAGGACAATTAACCTACTTTTGTCTCCTTACTCGATGAATCTGAATCACTCACTTAAGCATTTAGACTAGACTGTACACTTTTTCACAGTCTTATTTTTACTTTATGGTGGACAATGTTGAAAAAGTGAAAAATTACGCTAGCCAAGAGAAATCAAACCAAACTAAAATGCAGCTGCCAGATATCTAATTACTAGAATAAGAGACAAAAATGGCCCTAACAGGAGGAATCCCGAATGCCATAATAGGCAGTGAACAAGATGCCTATAAAGTGAGCAAATCTATAGGACAGTGATGGCTAGACAAAATACCATGATTCCAAATAGGATTTTCAAACCGAATATTGCGTGTATATGGTTCAAAAGAAACCTAACAAAGGTCACCTTAAAGTGCTTTATCTAGATTAGTTATCTGAATATGTGAAATTTAATCTCAAAAAGAACGTTATATGAGGCTGACGAAGTTCACATTAAATTGCCCTTTTAAAAAATGAGTACAATGGGAGTTTGACCTGCAAAGGTTCAAAGTTAAAGCTTTACAAACAAAATGCCCAGTGGTGATTGTCAATGAAAAAAAACGGGAATAAAGAATATACAGTGTTATTGAGATATACAGCATGAGTTTTTAAAAACGCAAACGATTGCACCTGGGTTAAAAATCTGCTATAAAATAAAACGGGATCACAGCACAAAAAGCATCAGTGTGGAGGAATTATGTGAATGTTCGGTTAAGATAAACTAATAAGGTCTCCGTTCCTAAGTTAAGCAGAGTAAACATGCCATCTTAAACAGATAAAAATAATATTTATTTCATTGGTAACTTTGCTAGAAAGAACTAATCATTTTTTTTAAATCCAAGGGAATGACATATTTTTATTATGTGAATGTAAACATTGTCAAATACAGAAAACACATTTTGGATAACACTGGTCTGGCAAATCATAACTGTATTTTCACGAACAGTAACTTTGTTCAAAAGATGCGACGGTTAGTTGTTTTCTCTCCAGATTTACTTCTGTCTTGTAAAATATCTGTTCATGTGAGCTTTTTTATAGTTTGAAGTACTTGGTTCACTTCAAGTAGCTTTTTTTATAATAGATGCTAGAACATTATACAGTCCAAGTTGATGCACTCAAAGAAAGCCTTTATATTTCTGAATTCCTTTGAATTTCGGTTAAAAGTCTCACTTTGATTACTTCATTTACCTTTAGGACTTCAAAGGTAAAACTATGCAGAGCTATTATTAGTTGACTGACAGTCATATCCTGAAGATTGAACACAGTCTATAAGTTGCCTAGGTGTGCATATGTATCAGAATTGGCATTAGAAAATAAGGTCATAGTCACTCAAATTTTGATTGTATTAGGTGATTTTGTCATGGAAATTCTGTTTCAGCTTGGAGATTGTGGGGATTAATTGATTTTAAGGTGACGTTCATAAAGAGCTGTCAGTACGTGATAAGTACTGTCTTCGAATCACTCAATCCCCACAAAACGTCAAATTGAAATACTGTCTAGTGCTCCTTAGTGACATGCTTGAAGACGAAATTCTAGAAAGCCTGATAAAAAGTCATGATCTGTGGGGTGAGCCAAGTCAGAAGAGAGGACAATCAATCAACCGTGACATTAGATATTGACAGCACTGTATTGCAAACTGACTGAGATAGGAAATTATAGACCACTGAACCCTAACCCAGTGACTGAATGGTAGAGTGCTCTTCGCGAGACCTGAAGTTACTGATTTCGGTCCTCACCGGGGTCATGAGTGTACACTTCTGTGGAGTTCCATACTGAGATGAAATGGTTGTCCAACACACCGAAGTCCTCAGCTGTTGTCTAATTGTCATGAATGCCGCCTTGAAAGTTCTACTGTTTGAAAAGTGAACTATGTTGTACACCAGTAAAAGCTTTGCTTGGTACCAAGACTAGTTCATAGGAGCCCTAATCTCTCTTGAATTCACTATTTATTATCGCTTTTAACTTAAATTCCTGGTATTGTTGACTGTCAATGAAACTTTTCTATTTCAGCTTGATAACCAACAGTTTAACGCTTAATTAATTAGTCAACAGGTTTTTGAAGAAAACCATTGTCTATCTGTGTACATATTTGAATAGGTATGACATTAAACGATGCAGAATTTAAAGTTAAATATTTGAGCGCATTCGATTTAGTTGGTTTTAGCTAAGATATCCTTTATAACGTAAGGTTACTGGCCATTGCATAAGACAATCTATATATGCTGGGATATCAGGTATTTGTAAGTGGTCACACAATAATCTGAAAATGTGCACAGTGAAGTCTACTAACAGGTGCAGGAAATATGCGTGTACATGGAATATTACTCCTCCATACTTTGGTCTTCAATAAAGTATATCTTCTTTTGTCTTTCGCAACACATCTGACTCATACTTGACCATATATACCGACTAAGCATATGTAAAAATTTGGCATACCAAATTAAGAGAAGCAAACATAGAAGACTGTATGCAACCATGTTGTTTTCCGTAAACTGTAGGGCTTTTATAAATGGTGCCGTGAAAGATTTTGACTACTACATCGAAATATCTCACAGAATAACAAAGTAACAATGATGTGATTCCTTTGCATCTTAAATTTTAAAGTTTTATTGGTTGATTGCATTTTCTCTACTGAAATGTGATCCTTCTCAGTAGTCACCAGGATTTCAAAATCTTATGGCACTACGAATCTATAGTTTTTTCCTTTATCTCTTGAGGCTACTATTAATGGATACTCAGTTGCAAAATAAGCTCCAGATGTAGTATTTCTTGTGACCAATGGTTGTCATTACTCCCACCAATCGTCTTCCTAAATGGCCATAACCTGTAAATGAAAGAAAAATAAACCTTTCATTTATTAGTACCAATTACTGAATGCCCGAGTGAGTGACTTTTCACTTCTTTCCGAAAGTTCAGCATAAGAAAATCATTGGATCGGGCTGTTTCGAAAGGTAAATAAGGTATTCTCATGTGTAAAGTAACAATAGTAAGAAATTCTTGTGGTAGAAAAATAGTATATACGAAATACCGAAATGCCGGAAACACTAATTTACAAATGAGGACCGAAATAACGATCACTTCACTGATAAAAAGAGTTCAAAATCGTGAACTCTGTCGTCAGAAGAAATAAAAGTAACTCATGGTTCCCGATACAAATTTAAAACAAGCAACAAGTGTGAAAAAAGCAAGATTTAATGGATTCATAAATTTCAGTAGTACTCGTCAGCTGGATACTCTACATACTTGATTATATACACCGTTGAGCAATGGAAAAGAGCATACATACATACATATACAACGTAGACTGAGATAAATTTAGGTGTAACAATATAGAAGTGAATAGTTTTCACAGGTCAAATGGTAATCCAGAGGATGAAAATGGATATTCAAGATTGTTGACATAGGGATGAGAACTGAATCGACTGAGCGTCGATTACGTCATTGAAAACAAGATAGTTAATAGTACTTATGCAGACAATAAGAAAACAAGGTGCATATTGAGATGAATAATAATGATAACATTGGCAATAGGAATGAGGTTAATTAGATGGAGTAAATCAGGGAAGGAAAACAAATATGAGATGAGTGATAATTAATAGTGAAGAGTAAAATAAGAAAGATTAAATATGATTAGACAGTGTTGTAATTATTACCATGGCAGATTCAGGCTGACTACCATTTCCTTCTGAATGCAAAGGTTTGGTTTGACAACTCGAGTCGTGCAGGCTTCTACATATCCAAGCAACTTCTTATTTTGCTGTCTACTGATAACTTTAAAGAACTAATAGCCATCAATATCGTGTCCATAGTCCATTAGGTGCTTTGTTATCGAGCTCCTCGGGGTCTTCTTTTCGGCATGCTTCAACCATTTAGGTATGTGCTCAACCATTCGGGTGGACAGACGCCTCGCCGTACGACCAATGTATTAGCTTTAGCACGTACATTCAAATTGATATATGCATTTAGATGTGTCGAGGATCGAAGTACTGTCTTTCCCTGATTGCTGCAATACCCTTTTGGTGGTGCTAAGAAGAACCAGTTTAGCTGCGTAGTAAGTCCTTCTGATAGACTTCTCCAGTCTTCGTCTGACTACCTCTAGTACGTCGTCACCTAGGAATGGCAAGGTGACATAGGCTGGTTTCTTCTGCACTGTTGGGGCCGTTGTTCTACTCCCTACCCACTTCGCGTGCTTGTTGAAAAAGCTTTCTAAGTACTAATTCTTCAACAGCACGCTTTTCAAAGCCCCTATTTCGTAGTCTAGTGTGCTGTCCTGGCTCTGTTACACAGCGTTCCAACTACATTCACTTTGTATTGGATCGGAACAAAGCTCCTAAAATGAAGGTATTGTCTTGTCCATGAAGATTTCCTATAGATAGACCTTTCCATAGATCCATCGATTCTTTTCACTAATGAGACATCTAAGAAACTAATCATATCATTTTCCTCGTGCTCAATCGTAAAAGTCAGGTTTGGGTGACATGAATTGAAGCTCTTCAGTAGTGCTTCTGCCTCCGCTTTACTATTGCATACAATGGATATATCGTCCATATAGCGCTGGTACAGTTCCGTCTGACCAATGAGGCCCTTCAAGCTACTATTTTTCAGACTGGATAGAAATAAATCAGCGAAAAGAGGACCCAGAGGGCTTCCCATTGCGACTACATCGGTTTGGCGGAATAACTGTCCGTTGAACTGGAACTGGATGTTCTTGGTGCATAGATTTAGAAGCCTTCTCAAATCACTTGTTGGGATAGGGATATTACCAGCTTCTCGACAAAAAAACTCAATGGTTTCATCAACTGGTACATTTGTGAAGAGAGATACAACATCAAATGAAACAAGATGCTTACCAGTGCTATTGAAATCTGCGAGGTTTCGAACAAATTGGAAGGTATCACTGTCTAATCATATTTAATCTTTCTTATTTTACTCTTCACTATTAATTATCACTCATCTCATATTTGTTTTCCTTCCCTGATTTACTCCATCTAATTAACCTCATTCCTATTGCCAATGTTATCATTATTATTCATCTCAATATGCACCTTGTTTTCTTATTGTCTGCATAAGTACTATTAACTATCTTGTTTTCAATGACGTAATCGACGCTCAGTCGATTCAGTTCTCATCCCTATGTCAACAATCTTGAATATCCATTTTCATCCTCTGGATTACCATTTGACCTGTGAAAACTATTCACTTCTATATTGTTACACCTAAATTTATCTCAGTCTACGTTGTATATGTATGTATGTATGCTCTTTTCCATTGCTCAACGGTGTATATAATCAAGTATGTAGAGTATCCAGCTGACGAGTACTACTGAAATTTATGAATCCATTAAATCTTGCTTTTTTCACACTTGTTGCTTGTTTTAAATTTGTATCGGGAACCATGAGTTACTTTTATTTCTTCTGACGACAGAGTTCACGATTTTGAACTCTTTTTATCAGTGAAGTGATCGTTATTTCGGTCCTCATTTGTAAATTAGTGTTTCCGGCATTTCGGTATTTCGTATATACTATTTTTCTACCACAAGAATTTCTTACTGTTGTTACTTCGCCTCAGACGACGTGTGACCTTAAAATAGCAAAAACTATCTACCCAATAGTTTTCTGTTTTCGTCTTGTTCCTTATCTCTTAGTTCCCTGTATCTCCATGTTTTTTGACAGATCGTTGTGTCTGGATATACCCTACGCCAAAAATAAGGGTCATGTTGTACTTTACAATTGTCATCGGCAACATGGAAATCAACACTGGCAGATGCATCAAGTCAACGGTGATAAAAACAATACAGCTAACTTAGTACGTTCATCCTCCAGTCTCTGCTTAGATTCAGACTTGAGAACATTACAAGTTTTTGTGAATTCATGTGACTATAACTCACGTACTCAGATGTGGAGTTGGTGCGAAATACAATTCGATGTAGAAATGGATGAGCTAATTTAGTACTAGGAAAATTTTGTCATCCCCTCAGACATTTCACATATTTTTAAGTATTGTTTGTGATATTTTTTTATTCCTGTTATTAAAATTATGAATCATTCCGAAATGCATGTAGTTTTTCTAAAGTATTTCTGGAAGTGAATTAAACACAGTTTTTTACTATAAATAAGATCACGTTTTCTAGAAATGGTCAGTAGAATGCTGAACTACAGCTGATCCATAAGCTGATTGGAATTAAAAATTAGCTATCGCAAATTAATATGACCCTCAAAATCTAAAACACTGATCCCGACCCTACATCTGAGTGTGGAACGATAAAAGACTCTGAGTTGCATAGCCATTCATATAACATAAATTTATTTGCCTATTTCAGTCTAGAACATTTAAAGTGTTATAGGACGAAATAAAAAATAAAATAGGAAGCAAAGCATCGCAGAACATTATTAGTCTCACTCTAACCCACGAAATTCCATTCCTTTGTTTATTGAAGACTTTCACTTTGTTAATTTACGTGTAAGAGAAACTGTGAGATATTTTGGTTGGTTGGAGATAGTCGATAGGAAGCTCTGGACCTAGGTTTTGTGCTTGGTGGCACTCTTTAGTAAGGCGTATCTGCAACCTAGAGGGGAGTGATGTCCCCTATAAGATTCGAACCCGCATTACTCAGTGTTGTAGTCAGTGACATTACCACTGAGCGTTTCGAGTGGTGATTGACCTCCTGTAGGACTAGGTTAAATATACTCAGCCTCCACAACGTAAAATCACCATTGGAACTCAATCAGCTCCCAGGAATAGACAACATTAAAATGGTTACCCTCCAGTGACCAATCGATGCAAACTGTGAAATATATCATTGCATGTCTCAAACACCCTCAACCCTTGAGTAAAGTGATTTTAAGAGCTGTTTTCCGGAAGTTTCATCAAAGTAAGTTCTTAGACCTCTGTGTTCTACAAATTTAAATTATCCACAGATTAAAATTCATCTAGTGTTTGCTTCATCGATTAGATTTAATAAAAAAACAAAAGAATCGATCTACACCATGTTACTATGTCAACATCCTCTTAAATTACTGATTAAGAATATCACGAAGATAGTGTCAGATAAATAACACTAAACATTTCCTAATCATGGAAACACCAAGCGGTATAAACAGAGGATCCTTCACCAAAACATCCTGTCCGCCTATTTTTTCAACACGCCTACTTGCAGGTCATTATGTCTGATTCAGCCTTGAGTAACGTTTGAATTCCTAGATAAATTATACTTTTCTTAGGTACAGAGTGTACTTAAAGTGTTATATATTATACTTCAAGATCACATGAATTCTTTTATTCGCAGTCTAGAAATACTTTTATATTCGTGTGTGTAATGTCCTGGCGTTTAGAATTACGACATCTACTGACTCCATAGTGAGTTTTTAGAATTTTCAGAATTGACGACATCTGGTGGTGTCCACCAAGGATATCCACTGTTACCGTGCCTATTTAACTTCGTCATAGGAATACTGATGAGCATAACCTTACGTACCTCTGACTTGACACGGATTAATCTACTCCCCGGTAGTCATCTGGTTGAATTGGAACATACAGTCGATTTTTTTCCTGTTAGGGGAAGACGCTGACAAGATGCAGGGTCTTCTCAACGCGTTGAGTGGAAATTTGAATATGTTTAGGATGCATTTCTCACCCATCAAACGTGCGATGGTACTCCATTCCTAGTCTGCTGCAAGTGCTACCAGTTTAATGATAGGGGGTAAAGTGCTGGAGTATGTCGGCTGCTTCACCTACTTAAGAAGTTGCATCAGCCCGAACGTATTGTTTGCTTACATTTCAGCTTGGATAGAGAAGTATCGTTTGGCACTTGCCAACTTACGTCATCAGTGCCACCGACTGGCAAAATATCCGACTACCTATCAAAAGACAACTATACTGAGTTGAGTCTAGTCCTTTCTTGTTATACAGCCGTGAGATGTGGCCGTTAAAAGTGGAAGATACTAGGCTATTACACGGTTCTGATCACAGATTTCTTCATAGCATTGCTGACACTTGTTGATAATAAGCAATGTTGAAGTCAGGGAAGAAATTTCAGGCAAGAAAGTCAAGTTGATTGATGAGGTTGTGAACCCTGGATGACTCATATGGTTTGAACATGTACTGCGCATGGCAAGCCACCACCTACTTTGACATGCGATGCTTAGGGAGGTTGGATTAGGTTGGAAGAGGGTTCACAGTAGCCAGACGTACCACCAGTCGATAACGTCCCTAGCCGTTGACCAGACCCATGCGGTGAGATGTAGACTGTCTGGTTGAGGTTCTTGAAACTAAAGGAATCATTGATTGAGGACTCTTGGTGACATGGCCGAAAATCCATCACAGTGGCACAGATGTATTTACTCACTTACATCTAAAGATTGAATATTCTTACTGATCTTTACCTTCAAAATGCTCGTTCTGTCACACAACTTTGTCTACTTTGATCTCACTCCTTTTCTATCCACTTGTTCCTTTCGTACCATCATGAAGTGCGTCAACCTTAACCGATAAACCTTCGTGAGAGATTCTACGTCGATTTTGTCTGTCATTCTTCAATAACTGACAAATTTGGCCATTCACATTCTTGAATGTGATCAAATACTGTATGCACCTAAAAAAACTCTCTTACACTTGATGTTGTTAAGAGACCTGATCAGTGATGAATCGGACTACAGATATTCGTATTAACTAATTCAATATTAAATCTCTAATTCGTTCCGTTCCAAAACGTATTAGAACAGAAGCGTTACCGCATTCAAATTTCATCCTCACTTATGGAAGGATGAAGTGTTCATGTGAGTGACTATTTCAAATACTATACTGTATAAATGTTCACCGTTATGTCTTTAGTTTGTTACACACCACTAACAATACACAAAGAATTCCGATCGTTACAAATTCTTGGCTTCTCTCCATTTGGTTTATTATTATTATTATTTGTCCCTTGGATTCCTAACGGAACATAGGGCTTCAGTAGCACGTCCCCATTCAACTCTGTTATCTGAAGTCTTTTCAGTCTGGCTCCATGACTGCCCACAAGCATTCATTTCTCCCTCACATGATCTCCTCCATGTCACGCTCAGACGCCCAACTCGTCATTTCCCATCTAGGTTCCACTCGAGTTCCTGGAGCGTGATGCTCCGAATGGTCTTCTCAGTGCATGTCCAATCCATTTCCATTTACTTCTGTATATTTGTTGAGCGATAAGTTCTTGGTTGGCTCATCACCAGCCATAGTTCCTTGTTCCTTATTCTTTCTGGCCATCTGAGCTTCAGTAAGGAGAGTAGGTAGTTGTAGATAACTGCCTGTAGTTTGTTGGAAACGCTTTTCGTAACAAGCCAAGTCTCTGAACCATTAAGAAGCAATGACTTGACTGAATCAGTGTTGAAAATCTGCATTTTGTTCACGCTTTATGCTGAGTGCAGATATCCACACTGATTTCAGGTTGATAAAGCCTGTCTTGCTTTTCCAATCCTGGCTGGCTTTGACGTCCTCGTCTGTACCTCCTGTAGTTAAAACTGCTGCTTAAGCAGGTAGGTGAAAGGGACAGCCTCCTTTAGGTTTCTCCCGTTTATGGTGATCGAGGTTTGCTGCTGTCGGTGGTGGCGTTGGTTTGGTATCTTCATCACCTCCGTCTTCTCTACGTTCACTTGAAGTCCGGTCTTGCTTCACTGCCACTTCCGTCATCTTCTTGGATTTTGCCCGTAGGTCTTCGAGTTTGTGTGACATTAGACACAAGTCATCGGCGAAATCCAAATCTTCTAGGATCTTTCCCCCGGTCTAGTATATGCCTCTCTACTCTCTTCTCACAGTTGTCTGTTGCATGATCCAGTCCACCACAATCAAGAATATCATGCATAGGTGATAGTAGGCAGCAGCCTTATCTTACCGCTGTCTTCACTTCAAACGCATCACTGAGCTTCCCATTGTGGATCACTTGGCATGTGGCGTCGTCATACAGTTGTTGAATGAGATCGATTGAGGTTTGTTGTATTCTGTAGTGTTGAGGCAGCTGCCAAATTATTTCTCCGTAGGCGCTGTCGAAGGCCTTTTCAAAATCGATGAAGTTGAGGTATCGATCCAGTTGACCGCCATTCTGTGCTCTGCTGTATGATGATGCTTAGCGTTGCAATTTGGTCCGCACATGATTTGTCCTTACTGAATCCAGCGCATCCTTTAGTTTCACCAGGATGATACGGCCTAATGTTCTGCTTTGGGTGAACAGGAGCATGGTTCTGCGCCAGTTCTTGTCAAGGTTTATGTCTCCCTTCTTTGGAAGTTTGACAAGTAAGCCCTTCTTCCAGTCAACTAGCAGTTACCTTTCCTTCCCTCATTGCAAACCTTCTGCGGTAGTGGGTCGAGTATGTCCGCTGCTGGTGTCTCTGCGTCGGTTCTCAGTGCTTCTGGTGTGATTCCACCTGTTCCTACTGCTTTCCTGCATTTCAGCACCCTCATGGCATTCAGCACTTCACTTCCGCCTTCGTCCGAGGGTTGCGGTTGCTGGTGGTATTTCTGGGTGCGTTGCAGGTGGTGGTCTATTCAAGATCTTTTTGAAGTGATCAGTCCATCATTTCCTTTGTTTCGCCCCTTTGGTAACTGGCTTTACTGCAGTGTCTTTCACTGGCTGCATCTGCGTTGATCTCTTCCCAGATAGTAGCCTGTTTATTTGAAATAGTGTTTTCAGGTCTTTCCTATCTGCAGCCTCTTCTGCTTCACATGTCAGTGTGTCGCAGAATCATCTTTTGTCTTTGTGAGCACTCTTCTTCACTTCTTTGTCTGGTGTAGTGTTTAATAGGTTCCACATTTTGTTGGTCATCCTTGGACTGCACTGGTTTATCTTCTGATTCACCATCTTCCTCTCCTCTATCAGTTTCCATGTTTCCGTCGAGATCCATCCCTAGTCCTGCATTTTCTCCCTTCCTAATACGGTTGTGCAGGTTTTCTTCCACATCTCTTCCACACATTTTCAGTGTTCTTCCATGCAGCTTCCTTCAGAGATGTTGCTCAATGTCTCCCATTTTGTGCTCATGACTCTCTGACGCGAAGATTTCCTCTGTCGTTTCGTCCTTCAGTTCAGTTTCTGTTCTGAGTGTTGAAATGTGGTCTACCACCAACTGCCTTGAAGGTTTTCAACTTGTTTTTTGAAGGTTGCTTGCACTAGATAGTGAGTGGTGTGAACCACCTACATCTGCTCCCCTTATTCATCTGATCTTGTGTCGAGTAGGCTGCGTCTCTCCTTTCTTCACATTGAGATGAAGTTGATCTGATTTTTAGTGTAGTGTCCTGGTGTCTGATGAAATCCATGTCGCTTTGTGAATATCCTTGTTTTTGTACACACTGCCTGGATCCAATCACCAATCGTTTAGAGAGCAGAAGTCTGCAAACAATTCTCCATTCTCATTCACTTCACTGAATACTTATCGACTCGTGATTGGTTCCCTTCCCATGTTGTCTGCTTCCAGTTTGACACTCGTGTCACCCCACCCATTAGAATTTTGATGTCGCCAACTGGAGTCTTGTCCAGTGTTGATTGCAGTTGTCTATTGAATCCCTCCTTCTTCTGTTGGTCTACATTATTTGTTGGCGCGTAGCATTGAATGATTGTGACTTTCCTTCCTTTTGAGTTGAATCCTGCTGCCACGAACCCGATGCTGGAGGAGATTGGTTCCCACTGCATGAGCAAAAGCCTTGGATGCTGTCTGGGACATTATGATAGTCACTCGAAAACTCGGTATGCTGTGCTCGTGGTTGTCAGCTGGGTGACAATATCAGAGTAGATTAGAGACTTCCATTCCACCTGCTTTCGCAGATTCCAAGCACTTCCATGCCATACCTTCTCATCTCTGCTGCGATCTGGGCAGCCTTGTTAGGTTCATACGTGGTGCGGACAATCCATCTCGCCATTCTTACTTGCGCTCTCATCGAGAGAAGAGAAGACGCATCGGCCAATTGGCTTCCCGCAGGCTTTCACCAACCGGCCTCATTCCATCCCCCCGATCCCAGTGAGGAATAAGTTTGTCTTTATTGATTTATTTTTTGTGCTTTGAAGTTTCTTTAGCGATTAGATTGGTTTTCCGGTGTAGGGTTGCTAGCCTTATGGTCAACCTTCCCTCTTTATCCGGGTTTGGGACAGGCTATTAACTAGTGGATTAGTTACTCAGGCGAGGTTAAGTGACATCTTATGTAGCTCAAATAATCCGATAGGTGCAATTATCACATTTTTTCGATGTCTTCCTCTGCAACCGGCACTTGATGACATGCACTAGCTAAGTCCACTTTTGATAATATCTTTTCAATATACCAGGGAAATGGAAACTCGTGTAATTGTGGGATAGGTAGTGGTCAGGAACTGTCGCATTATTCAAAGCAGAGTAGTCACCGCGTAGATGCCCATCCCGATCTTTCTTTGCCACCATGTTCAGCGGCGAAGGCGATGGTATGCTATAGTATGCCCATCTGCATTATATGTTCAAATTATGCTGGTAGCTGATCGAAGTCAAGCGCGGGCAGGTTGACCTTTGGTGATGATCTTGTGCACTTCGGTGTGGCGCACTTCCTCGGTGCGATAACTGAGTTTAACAGCGCTGAGGAATACCCGGCGCAAGCGTGCACATCTTTCATTCCCAGGTTTTGGGATGCAGACACTGTGGAGGGGATAATCTAGGTACAGTTCCTTGTACTCTTATTATTGGGTGTGCATCACTCTCTTTCTTTTTGTCAGCGTAAACCAGGAGATTGAAAGCGCTTAAGAAATCAACCCCAAATATAGGATGTGTACATCATTGACGACGAAAAACCAGGTGAATCGACAGTGTAAGCCAAGGTCTAATACCAGTGACTGCTCACTAAACGTCGGTATACAAGTTTTGTTTGCAATTGAAAGAGGTGGCTTTATGGAGGTTATTGATGGCCACTGTGAAATAGGGAGCGGAATAACACTAACTTTGGCACCTTTATCGAACTTAAAGTTTTATCCGTCACACATAAGGGGTGACTGGTTTGGTTGCCAGTAGCAGCTGTCACCATCGCTCTCCAGTCGCCAAATTTGCCTTGTCCGACGGAGAGCTTTTGTTGGAGTTGCAGAGTCTTGTACACCAACCGGCTTTGTGGACGAACTTTCTGTGATACCAACAAATCTCTTGCGTAGCCTTGGGTGTGCGTGATTGTTGTCTGTCATTTGAGCACTTGCGTGACATGGATATCGGGTGTCGAACTTCTGTATCATAAGTCTTTGCTGGTAATGCTTCAAATTCGGATGATAATGATGTCATTTGTGACTCAATACTGGATGGGCTGCAGGAACCGTCTGACGGAAGCCGTACGTCCAATGACTCTATATGAAAAATGCCCTCACTGTAACCTGTTTTGTACGTTAGGCTAAGCAACGGTTGTAGAACTTATGCATGAACATACACAATATCATTTGATTTTGTTCAAGATTTCACTTCATACCGATAACACTGCAAATAGTGGTGAAAACTGCAATCTCCGAATCTCTTTAGGTATGACCAGGAGATTCGAACAAAATTCTTTGGTTTGTGGGTGTCGCCATTCATAAACATGTAAAAGTGCAAAAAGCAGCCAATAATTCGCCTATGAACAAACAGTATAAGACACTATCCAGCAACAGTTCAGGAGTACTGCTGGTGCGAACTTGACAGACGAGAGGCCGACCACTGATTATTCGTACTTGTTATATACCCACGAGTACAAGGCCAATGAAGAACACAATAGCGTAGTCAGATTGAAAGGTACATTTGCGAGGTCTTACCAAGATACCGATACGTTCCAGCTAACTCGCCAGATGATCGATTACGGGCATTGTAACGTAACACGACAGCGTACCGAATGGCGTGGATGCCTGCCCGTGTGCCTACAGCTCAGCGAGTCCAGTTAAGCCATAAAGGTCAGCATCAGTGTTGAACCTCGTCATACTCTAGGCTATTGATTCTGGAGAAGTGTGTGAAGCTACAAAAGGTAGCATAACAATCACTGTGCAACTGTGTATGATATGGACTCAGAACCCCAAAAATAAGCATTTTTGGTCGAAAATGATTACTTTTGACAGGGGCAGTGAAGCCGGTGAGTAGATTTTAGCTTAACTGTAGAAACGTTGATGGCCTAGTATATCTTCAACACCTAATATCAATGGCCTAGCAGCGGACACTTGTATTTTTTAAGCTTTCGCTTCCAGGTCTTGAGACTTAGTTCTTCACATGACTGTCACTCAAATTACATTTTTTTATAGACTTTGAGCTATAGAATGAAAGAATCATGCTATTGGAAAGCAGAAGACATTATGTGCGGAACTCAGGTTGTTCTTTCACATCGTTTGTGTGTATTCCTAAACTAAGCACCTACTCAAAACAGTAAGAATGCGCGGGTTGTTGGTTTCTCAACAATCTAGTGGGGTGATTTTTAAGAACAACCCAGTAAATAATCAGCGAGGGTTCGTATTTCCTATCTTATGTTTTGTGATCGATCAAGTTTGCAATAATGTATATTCTAAGAGTTTTTAGCACTCATATAAAGAGGATATTTATAATGTATAAGCAGGAAGTCTACATAACCGATCTTTCCATTGGGTATATCACAACAGGTTCTGAGATTAAGGTTACTTGATGCCGGGTGTAATGAATTAGTTAAAGATAACGATATTGTCAAAATTTTAATTCTTTTAGTAAAAGTTCTACCACAAAACGATTTCTTCATCTTGATCCTACAACTAAATAAATGTATGAGGTAATAGGCCTGTGGATTCATTTAGATGCTACTTTTGTGTTATTAATGAATTCCAGACCTCCATAGAGATCTGTGAAATAAAACATTTTGTCTCTTACAAGTCGTTCTTCTAAGTTTTAAGTTTTGAAGTTTGATAAATGTCATTTATTTCCGTCTTTAATTATTTAGGACCCAGGACTGTTCTCAGGTTTGTTGCAGCTTAACTGCAGTTAATATAAAACCCACATTTCTTCAGCTTAAATTATGCATCCCTAAAGATACACATTTAAACATTCCACAATAAGTTGCCAAAACTGGTGAAGTTAGAATCAATCGTAGTCCCAACTTCACATTGTTTTCAGTCTTGTGGGTATGCCTATTGTGATATAAGAGTTCATTTTTGGTGACAGAGCTTTCTATTCAGCTTAACTGAACTAAGTGTTCTTAGAGTAATAGCAGCTGCAGTTAGTTCCAATTTCAGTTTCAGGGTTGTGTTTGCAATAGATTTAGTGCGCTGCACAGAGCTCTTGCAGCAAACATCTTTTTAGAAGTCAGATGACCATAATTAGAACTTGTGGTTACTGCCAAATCTAACGCTAGTGATAAGAAAAGTCGATTCATTCTGGCAATTTAAAAAGCCATCTCCATGTGTAGCTGTTTCAGTAGAAAATTGACGAAATTGCAGATCAGTCATTATGAGAATATATCCTCTGGGGTGCCCTAAGTAATTTCGCACTTCTCTTTTAAGATTTGTAGTCCTTAAATATATCTTAATGTTGCTGTATCCCTTGCATTGCTTTTCAGAGCTGTATCATTGACCATAGATTCGAACGGTGCTCCACCTACCACAGTTTGCTCACCCAGCTAGTACCGTCAGGACTCATAATAGGTAACACATTGCCTAACGCACGAAAGCATACGTAGTTGCTAGGATAGTTTAGTTTTCTTAGTATTCCCATTCCGTAAGAATAAATGTATCATCCCACAAATTCGTATTGCGTAACACAAGAAATAAGCTTCTGCAACACCACTACTCATATGCTTTCTGATGTCTGATGTTCTTGTTCAACTTGTTTTCCTACAACTTGGTGGGGTGATGTGGTGTCAGTAGTAGTTTGGTTGCATGTTTATCTGTTCATTGTACTTTTCAGATTTGGTGTATGGGACATTCTTTAGTTTCCACTAAAGGCTGGTTGTATGACTTATAATCTACCCTACTTAAAAGCAGATCAGATGCATCCACACAATATTTTCTTCCAAATCCTGGTAATCTTATTGTTTTTCCGTTTAGTTGTTTGTTTTTTGCTTTGTGGGTTTTCACTCTACTATCTCTTGCTTCTGGACTTAACCTTTATATAATGATAAAAGATACTGGAAGTTTAAGTTATTTTTCGTGCTATCGAGCCTCATTTTGCTTGTGCTCCTCCAAAACTCCATTTCGGTAGTCACTAACTCGTTCACAACCTCTTCGGTAACACTCGCTTTCAGATAATCTAAAGTAAGCCGTTGGCTGTCATGGATTAACGTTAGTTAGTAATCTTGGAAACGAAGGACCTGCAGAAGACCGTCTACCTTGGAAATCCTTAGCAGCATAGCTATACGACTCCATATTACATTCAAAACAAATTCCTAAGCTACTTCGTAGCTACCTTGCAGATTGTTTGAATCATGAAAATCTCATTTGGTAAGAAATTACAACTTACTTTCGACTACTTTTTGGTGGAGGAACATCTTTCCGTTAATCAGCTGATGCAGGTTCTTGTAACAGTGAATCCAGCGTTAGTTGGTCTAGTTGCCACTGTTGATGACAAAACCTTCAAAAATCATCCTGTATTTGAAAAGATCTTCATAGCATATAAAGTCGTTTGTTAACTTCGTGATGACGTTAACTATATTACTCAAAGGAGTTGTTCTGAAAATCAGGGGGATTATCTGCCACCATCAGTGTGGATTTAAAAAAATGTACATATTTCACCGAGAACTCGGTTTACTGTTATGCAGAACGCACAAGTACAGATAATTCTTAAGACGCGTTTTAAGTGGCTTCTTATCGCACGTCATTCCTTAAACAACACCTAACGCGTTTGCTAGTCACAATTGATTGCTATATTTGCGAGAAAAGTTCTCCATTGTTAGTGTTTCTGGCAGCTCTTGCATAGGGAGGATAGATATAATGTGATATTGTAGACGTTGGCATTTACCGTAAGTATCACAGCAGTTGTTTAGATGACCGTTTGTAAAACAGTGGTAAAGGCAAATCTATGGGAATAAAAAACATTTCCTTGTGAAAAAAATAGTAGATTATGCCAGTGTACTTGGTAATAGTGAATTACTACCACTAATTCATAATACTGTACGTAAAGAAATTTAAACATAGAGTACTAAGCAAGGAGAGTAAGTCAGTCGATGAAGTTGAGATCCTTAACCCACTTAGATGGTTTGGACATGTACTGTGCATGCTGTATCACATCGTACTTGGGGCGTGATGTTAGCTGAATTGGGACTAGTAAGGTAGAAATGTAGAGGCAATGGATTATATGAGGTGTATTCTACTTGTGTAGTCTTAGCGTAATACATCAAAACAAACAACAAAAACAAATATTCTGCATCATTTATCAACTTTTCGATCTTGCTAGGAATATTCTTTTGAAGAGTACGAATGTGATACTAAGCTTTTAGGTTAGTATTCAAGTTCGCTACACAAAGTGAACCTTTTGGCCAGCGAATTGGATTGTCATGTAGAACGAAGATCAATATAATTTAAGTGAGTCAGATTAACAAGAGTCAAGGAAGCTTATCTAAGTTGTGCAAATAGGGTGGTACATGATTAGAGTAAGGAATTTTGTTCATTTGTGAAATATGCATCGGAGTGGAGTCAACAAAGGGGGGGGGGCGGATAAGAATAAGTAACGTTAGGAATGCTGAATAAGCTGAGAATAAACCATGCGGAGTATTGTTAGTGAATCGTCCCTTCCTATTCTTGTATATTATGTGCAGCTCCTAATGTGAGTCACTAATGTTCGCCAAATTTGTGGGATATGCAGTCCATCTTTTCTGTTGACACCCGAAGAGTATGAACAGATATACAAAACACCGGCGCTGACTCTCTCTTTGTGAAAAATGGAACCCTTCTGCCGGACTTTTGACTTTTCAAGCAATATTTTATGACCTGATCTTAAGGTATGAACCTCAATGTCATAGTCTTTGTAAAATTTTTCCAGCTCAGGAATTTTTTGATCGCTGTTTGCAATTTTGACTTTGATCACTTAGACGCGTTAGTACTTGACCTGATTTCTTCAATATATGTAGCATCGCATTCATTGCAGTCTACCTTATAGACCATTCCGTGGTTTCATATGAGGCATCGGATCTTTTAATTTTAACAGGTGTGATTGCAGTGTTTGTCACATTAAAGAATACCCTGATGTTATAACTGTCTAGGGTACGTCTTATTTCGCCTGATGTGAATGTGCTACTTATCCGATCTCTATGAGCTGATTTTCTCATACATTTTTTCGATAATCTTTCACTTCTTTCTGGTAACTTGTCTGGATAGTTATTTTGTTCTAGGACTTTCCGAACAATTGACCTCTGAGATTCCTGTTTATTTGGTGTCTTTTATGTTCTCATCAATAGATGTTTTTTGGCACTCAACTAAGGTTCTAGTGGGTGGGGTGATTCAAAGCCAAGGTATTTGTTCGAATGTGTGTCTTTTCGACAGGCGTCAACTAGACCGTTACTGTTCCGTATAACCCTGTAATTTAGGAAGGCTAGAGGTTTGGATTCTACTCCTAATTCATAAGTGGGTTTTATGGAATTAAAACGGCTGTTCAGATGTTCGAAAAGCTTTTCTAGTCCTTGCCTTTCAGTCATGAATAAGGTGTCATCGACGTACCTCCACCATATTCTTGGTTTTAAGTAGTATTAGCTAATTAGGTCTAGTCAGCGTTGTGCATGTGTGATATGGCTACAATAGGTGAAACAGGTGGGCCCATTACTACCCCGCTGGTTTGACAGTAAAGAAACGTAAAATAGTTAGGGTTCAACATAATTTCAATGGATCACTGATTTTAGTGATAAAAAAAATGCATCCAAGTGATCAGAAAGTGTCGATTTTAATAAATACTTAACAATTTGTATTCCTTCAGCAACCGGAAGTTTAGTACGTGGGGAAACAAAATCAAAGCTAACCAACATTTCATCATCAGTGTTTATTTGTAACATTTTGTTTAAAGTATAACAATTTTTTATGACATCAAGTTGTCTTGTTATGGGTTAAGGATGTTTTCTAGTTATTTGAAAAAGTTATATATTAAAGAAGTAGTAAAATCCACAATCGGACGAATCGGAACTCTGGGTTAATGAATTTTGGGAAGTAAGCTAAAGCAAGCCACAATGCATTGCCTAGTTTTGTTTTCGTCTTACTTAGTAATTCGCTGATCTGTAGCTTCTTTCTGGCAGCGTAGATTTACTTTGTTTCTGTCTCTCCATAAGATTCACTGGATAAATGTTTTATTGCTTTGTCCGTGGTCTAACGTGTTCATGAAAATTATGTTTCTTTTATCCGCCTTCATAATGCTTATATTCTTATATCTGATTTCTGCAATGTATTGTTGAAGTAATTTCATTCGTGGTCCCCCATACATTGCAAATTCCCTAATATTATAATTGGTTAGTGATTTAAATTGAAGTTCTTTTCATAATATCAAATTTCACTCGTATATACGAATGCGACCCACAATTAACATCACTTTGAGATTAGATGATTAGCTACCTTGCACTATATGTTGTTTTTCGGAGTTTTGAATCGAGTCCATTGATTATTTGACTTTTTTTCATGAAATAATTCTGTCTTCCTTTCAAGTTGTCGAATATATTATGTAGGCTTTCGAGAACAAGAGGCTTTTTGCTGTCATTGTGGGCTTGCATACGAATTTAATATGATCCAAGCATTAGTATACTTTCATATATTCTTTCTCGTAAACATGTTCTTAAAACAATATAATATAGTTTCGAAAACTGGATGCGATTAGAAATACGTCTCAATATACTCAAACATATCTAACCTATTCAAATTGGTACAGTCATCGAATTTTTAATGTCCACTGTTATAATTCTAAAGATATCCCTGAAAACTTCATTTGCCAAATCCCTCGGATATTTGAGTCAAATGTGCTGTGTTCGTCAGCCGCGCTTATTGGACCGAAGTACGGTTGCTCACTTTACTTCACTCCGTCAATACGAAGAATCCGTAAAACACTTTTTGAGTTTCTGTCTGTTCGATGGGTTTGTATACATAGCATTGAAATAGAAAAAAGGTGCACTCCTTGGCTACATTCCAGTTGATAGTTCCCTACACACTTTTCGGTTCAACTGTGCAGTGAGGACTAAGAACAGTGTAACTAGTTTGCTTACGCACCGGCTGACTGCACTTCGGACGATGTGAAGGACGAATTGTAGCGATAACTGTTTAGCCTTTTATTAAAAATGGGACGTCCCGATGTTTGTTATCTTATCAGGTGATTTCAATGCACAAGTGTATAGGTGTCATTTTCTTCATCTCAGCCATACACACAGGTAAGGGCGATCACACTCCACAACTGAGCTCAGAAAATCACCTATTTCTGGTCGAACAAGAGATATTGTCTTACGCGTTGTTCAACCATAACTCATTGATGTCAACTGTCAACTATCATAGCAGAAGTTTGTTAGAAGATTGTTACTTCTTCAGGAGCAATGTGTTTGGACAATGATCATGCGTCGGTTCGATCACCCATATTTTGTCGCCTAAATGGACGTAGGAAAACTACGTATACAATAACATTTTTATGATAACAGTATTAAGGCTGCCTCCAGTAAGGAACTGGCTAGACAGTTATCGGAACAGAATAGTGTCTCTAATCTAGGAGAGAACTGGCCCTATCTTCACTTTGCTGTAAAACAATGTAAAGACCGAAACTGATTCTCAAAAAGTGATTAGAAAGGACCAATGGATCTCAGCATATTCTGAATTTGTGGATGCGTGTGAAGGCACTCCTGTAGACTACGAGCACAATAGGGAGTGGAAGCAACTCTAATGTAGACTGATGAGAAGTTTACACAATGACCACAAGCAGTGATGGATCACGAAAGCTAGAGGTGAAAACGGCACCGGCGATAATTGAGAGTATACAGTTACTTAGGATTGTCAAGGATAATGAGGCAAAGAAGTCAATGGTTAGTGTGGTTGTAACAGAGGAGGATGGGTCTGATTCACTCGGAGATGAAACAACTGGAACCATGGCGGAAAAACTTCAAGGAACACTTCAACTGGCCTCCTTTTACTCTTCTATTACGCTCTACCCAGTCAGATCCTGAACAGAACACTGAGATAGGGTCTTCAACGCTTACGGAAGTCGAAAAATCTGTAAGTAACCTGGAACGGTGAAGGGCATCAAGGCTAGGTAAGTTAGTACCAGAGTTGTTTAACAAAGACCTTCAGGAGTTGTTTTTCACGTTAACCGAAGTGTTAGCTAACGTTTAGTAATCAGATATGAGCCCTTCCAACTGTTGCCAACCAATGATTGTCTCAGTATTAAAAAAAGTAAAAGAAACCCTCTTATGACTACAACAGCGGAATCAGTCTGATGAACATATTGTCTAAAATTATGGGTTTTATGATCATTGGACATCTAAGTGTGGAGCTCAAGAACAGTGAACCTGTTAAAACCAAGAAGGTTTCACACCTGGTCGTTGGTGTATTGAGCTGGTATTCATCCTCGACCAGCCTCCGGAACACAGGCACAGTTACCGATGCCTGCCACTAATTGTATTTCTCGACCTATGGGTGGTATTCGACTCCTTTCATCAGGGGATTATATGACAATGTTTATCACTGAAATAGGCACTGCATAAGTACATCGCCCCACGGAAGCTTTAGCTGTACATCCGTGGATGCGTTAGAGCAGATTTTTAGTATCAGCTGAGTTGTGTTTTTCAAGTGGTATCCGTCAATATTGTCCACTCCCTTCATTCTTATTTCATTTTAATCACAAACGTACTTATAGATGTCCCCCTCTCGTCATCAGACGTTAACCTTATCACACAAAAATCCTTAGTAGATCTAGAGTAATCAGATGACGTAGCTTCGTCGAATACAAAAGTTGAATACTTACCATGCTGTGTGCACAAAAATGTTTATCAAATAACCAGCTGTATACTGTTTAGTATGGTACTGGATATTTTACTAGGTACTGTAAATGTATTGCATTATTGAATTCAGTGGTTGTTTTTAGTTTAAAGCAGTAGTCCATAATTTTCTCACCCTACGTTTCTGTTGTCGCACTTTTACGAATTGAATTAATTGCGTTTCCGTCCAAACTTGGTGCGGATAAACTAATTCACAGAACTTACCACTTTCCAGTTATACTTAGTCGAGTGTGCATAGCAATAGTGGAATTGAGCCAGTTAATAAAATGTTATAACTCACTCAGTATGTTTCTTCTTAGGTGGTTAACTATAATTCTACTTCGGAATGCAGGTTTTTATTGCAAACAATTGAATTATAAGAATTAAGAAAGTCACGATCCACACAACGACCTTATGCACGTCTGTGCAGTAGACAATGAGCCACATCTGTTGTCTGATAAGGGCTCATTATACTGCCTTGTTGCACCAGCCTCAGTAGGTGGAGTGGTATTGAAATCCCTGAACCACTGATTGAAGGTCGCCTTAAACCTGTGAGCCCCAGTTTTATGGTGGAATTACTGGGTGGTCGGGATTGTGATACTATAGGAAGGTGTTTAAGTAAGACTAACCATTGAACGAGGTCATCGACCGCCATCAACTAGTTTAAAACAATTTTGAAACGAATGGGAGGAAATAGAAAAGTTGTTTGTTAGACAGGAAAATCTGGAAATCTCATCGCTTCTCTCGTACGCCATTGCAACTTATGTAACATTTCTCAATGTTATTGACTATAGTACCTCTGAGTAGTTGGTATTTTTTCCTCAGTTCCTTGAGAATTTGATGGATTTGAAATGCACCCATCAATCTTGTGCCCATTCATGCAGTAGGCAATAAGCTACATCTCTTGTGTGAAGGCTACTGATACTACCTGGCTGCGCAAACCTCGGTAGGTGGAGCGGCGCTCGAACCCGTGACCAGTGGTTGAAAGTCATCTCCCTAAACCAATAAGCCACAGTTCCTTACTTTCTTCTGATTGACTCTTTGTTGTTGTCTGGACATTTACAGTTGACTGATTGATCGAAGTATTGAGTTGGTACTCAAACTAACTGAGCTTACCATTTTCATCGTTGATTAACTGCAGCATGTACTTTGTTTACTGTTAAATCACCTCGAATGTAAGTGTACAAATTTATATATCAGTGGATATTAAATATAGAACCACTAATTACTGTTACGGGAAAAACAGCCTTCTGGATTTAAACAACTCTCGGGTAAATCTAACAACTTTTTGCATAAAGAAAATTATACTAGACGTTATCTGAATAAAGCGAAGTATACTTAGCGGACTTGAAATTAGCATGTAGGTGGCATCAATGAACTTTAAAGTGGGAATAATAAATTATCTTTAATAATTATCCATCTTCATGAATTATCAATAAAATCTTCGTTAATACGGCACCCCAGTAAAGATAGACCAATTCGATTACATGTCACAGTTTGTTTTCTCTTTTTAATTTGTCTTTGTGGATTGTTGATACTCCGGTTTTTCATTTGAAAACGGTTCTAGCTACTTATCACATGATTACTGAGGTAAGTGGTTAGTAGTTAAAGCGTTTGTTTGAAAAGTAAGCTGAATGGTGAGATTGTACTTGACATTACATACGTATAGATATCTCGTATTTCAACACTAATTACTGTTTAATTAATACTGTAGTAAACCACACTCTTTTCTTATTCCTTTTAGTGAAATTCTCTCGATATGCTCATCAAAATTCAATTCTTCTGGTAACAGCAGATTTACAAAATCAAGTCAAATTTCCACCTGTCATTTCATTCCTGGGGGTTATAAACTTTATTTTGCTTTGAATTCAGGCGCCTTATACTGTTTAGACTTTGCAAAGAATTGGTAAATCATGTTTTCTATGTAACTTCAATCAAAAACATCACTAGGTATAATCTAATAGCTTCACTGAGCAGTAGTGTTACAAGCATATGTTCCTGTGAACCGCTTGGATACATACTTGTTGGCTTGAATGATAACAGTATCCGAATTTTAGATCAAGGTAATTTTTATGAAACTTAGTTATTTTCCAAATAATGTAGTTGTATACTTCATTGATTTTATGTAGTTAAATATTAAATGACGTCAAATATTTCATACAGAAGTCGTAGAAATGTACAGCTCATTTTTGAAGTTTAATGTATGAAATGTTTCAACTGGTATTCTACTTGCTGTGTATAAAACTCGAGAAAATTATCTTAGGCAGTATGAATGTCAAGTAAACTCTGCAACTAATGAGACTAATAGCGGTATTTACCGAAGCGAACACTTTAATGCCCGCTGTTTTATTTTATTGTGAAATAACTGGCTATTATCTAGAATTAAGTGCTTCATTTGCCTTACCGTTTGCATTTCAAATATTATTAAAATGTGAAGGAAGATCATAAAAATCTTACGGTTCCCTACTGTTTATAAACATTGGAATTCTTGGGTCAAATTGCTTTGTTAATGAGGGATAGTGGCTAGCAGTGGAATCCAGGACTCGCGTTTCGTCCCATTTGGGACTCGTCGGCTAAGTGTTTATATCTCCTTGTGAGTGGTGTAGTTCTCAGTCACTTCAAATACTAAAGCGTTGTCCACTAGACCACTGAGTCACAATCGCCACTCCTTGTGCAATGGGTATAGTATAGTTTTGATGTTGTGGCTTGTAAATCTCGGTCGTTGATTGGACCGAATTGGTCGACCACTATTGGCATATAGACTCCTGTGCGGATGCCTCGATATGGTCTTAGCCACTGTCCTTCATTAATATCGAAATTGAGAATTTCGGCAATATCGAGACATTTACACAGGAGCCTATATGCCAATGTTGGCCGATCAGTTCGGTCCAATCAGTGGCGGAGATTTACAAGCTATCATACCAGAATTGCCATGTTCTTGTGTTTTTTGATAAACCAAAGCAACTTGTGATCCGCATACCTGATTCTCAACCTAAAAAATCTGTCGTTCAAGCTGTAATTCGTTTTTTTGAAACGTTCAGGTTTTTAACATTTAATGCTAACAAATTCATATCTAAAGTGTTGTACGGTCGTTGAGTTGCAGTTGAAACATTCTCAGTTTACTAAGACATGAAAATGCGGTGACGATGCACTTGTTAGCTTTATTCAGTATCTTCCGTGCACCATTCATCTTTTCTGCTCTCTATTAAAATATTTTTCCATTGAATACTTTTCCGCTTTTGATGTCCAATTTAATTTCTGGTTTATCAATAGCACCATAATTTTATATTAACGATGATTTGTACTCTCTGATGAATTTGAATTCCTTCAATTTGAACACTGCATGCTGTTATGCGTTTGCATTGCAACTAGAGTTAAAAACGTGCCTATTTTCGCAAGTTATAATAATGTTTTTGTTAATCGTTTAGCTAGCTTCCATTTAAGGTGTAGTAAGAGTAAATTTCGATTAAAATTGTGTACCTGAGCAAGGGATAAACGAACCGTGGGAAAATATACAAAATTAGATCCTAAAGTTTTGTAAATAATGTTCTTCACTACTGAACGTCCATAAATATTACGGTATAGCGGCGTAGGATGTTTTCCTGAAATCGAAAGAATTCTGTGTGACTTTCCTCTTAATACCGTTTCCTTTCGATTCTAGGTTCTGGAAAAGAAATTAATTCTTTACGTGGTCACACATGTAGAATATCTAACATTTCAGTCCAACCAGTTTTGGGTCAGTATGTCTTATCTGTGGCTCTTAACGAAGTAGTTTTATGGGATCTTGAGGATTACAAGTGTCGATGCAAATTACATATTGGTCAAAAAATAAATGTTGTATCAGTGAGTTTGTTTTCGTCGTCAAAACTTCCTGCTCTGTTAAGAATTTATATACATTTGGTTATTCTTAGTCAAACTCTAGTTACTTCATAGTTATATTTTTACACTATGCAGCAGGGGCATTTTATTCATTACGCCAGGTGATAATATAATGATGTTCGACTGAAAGAGTTAATGTAGATACGATATAGAGATGGCTGGCTGGCATGTTCTCACGACGACAGAATATTTGACTGACTAATTTCATTCGATTTATGACCGTACCCAAAACCTAAACTAGATAGTGACCAAGAAGACTGACAAATTGGTCATGCTCGTATCGTATTATTTATCGAAATGTAAACACTCAAATTAAAATGTGTACTGTTGCTCATATATAATGAACGAGATTCAATAGCTATCTCCTGTTAACTTGCTTGTACAGGCACTGCATAAAATTGTAAAGCGGACAGTGCATTTTTCGAGTAGTCATCGGTCGCTAACCTTCTACTATGTCCGACTGAATGAATTCCTGGGACTTAAAAAGGGTTATAAATCGCTAGGATACCTAGTCGTAGTCTTCGCCCTTCTTCCTACATACTGCAATTCAGGTAATACAAAGAATGGTGTTTTTATTCAGAGCTGTCAATTTTGCTGCATGAATCAAAATATTCACATACAAGCATAGTAGCGAGTGACTTTAACACTTAATTAAGAAACGCCTAGCCAATGGGAAAAGCATCTTGAATAAATCCACGGTATTCTGTTCCGACGAACTGATAACGGTGATCTTCTCTTACAACTTTGTTTTAACAGTCAGTCACTTGTTGGTGGTGAGTGACACTATCAAACATAAGGAGAGACTTTGTTTGACTTGGTGTCGACGGACATCAAACCAATGATGGGCACAGATGAATCAAATCTTTATGGACCATCAGTGATAAGGATCGATTTATGGATAGTGCTGTTTTCAGATTATCTGCTTGTATCTGAACTACACATTAATGTTGGCACGTAGATGTCTATGCCCTAATAAACACAGGAAGAAAACGGAAATGAAATATATGTGAGGTTGACTGGATGATGAGGACATCAGGTGTGCATTTATCGATGAGATAGTTAAGGATTTGTCTGAAGATGACTCACTTCAGTTAGTTGTGACTACAATGAGGATCAGAAATCGACTAGAAGTCTTCTCAGTGACCGGGAGCAGTGTTGGGTGGAGTAAGCGAAGTTGAAGTAGACGACATTGTCACTAGTTAGTAGTCAGATATTAGTTTCGCTTATCAACGAAAATCGGCATGTCTAAGACAATGGTCAATGAGACTATCACCGAAAAGGATGAGTGTTTAATCACCCTTCATAGCAAATGACTAAAACGTTAGACAGAAATCCTTGAGGAACATTTTGACTTCAGTTCACAGAACCTGAATAAGAAGCAGTACTCAGCAAAATCTTAACCTGAAAGTGGCATTTGACTCTATTTAGTTGTAGTAGTCGTCGAGTGCGAAGAGAGTAGTGTGCAACTACTTAATGCTAGTCAGGCTTTTCGACTGGAACTCATATAGCTGCACGAAGGCCTGTAGATAATAGTCGTTTGAGGTTACGACAGTGAGTGGTGTCCCCAAGGGAAGCTGGCTGTTACCATTCTGGCTCAACTTTGTTATACACGTGCTAACAGATTTACCCCTACATGTGTCTGATTTATTAGGGATTGACTTTCTCCTAGAACGGCGCGGGGCTGATTCTGAGTGTGCAGACAACATAATGCTGTTAGGTGGAGTTGGTGACAAAGTTCGAGTCTTCTAAATACCTTAAGAAGAAGTCTGAGCGTGTTTGACATGCGTTTCCTAAATGTGAAATACAAGATAGTAATTCAGAACTTGTCTACCTTTACTCTTAATTTAGGGATAAGAATGAAGTGATGGAATTCGTCACCCGTTTCACTCACTTGTGGAGTTGCCTCGAGAAAGTGTTGAAGTGAAATGGGCTAGTGTTTCTTGAAGTGGCTAATAAGTGGCTGTTTAGGCTATGTTGATGTTTCCTAGTCAATTCCAGTTTCCGAAGTTTTAATTATTGGTCATTTCATTTACTTTTCAATTTGAAAAGTTGGGGGAGTCATTGATGCTGAGATCCTTATGCTGAAAGGAAAACTTTTTCACTCAGTTAGACAAGATGTGCAGCAAATGTTGGCAGTTAGAGGTAACTATTTTGTAGAGCTTTAGCTCATTGATTTAGGCGATTGACTTCCGACCAAGTGGGTGACGGGTTCTATCAAGTCTCCGCCTACCGAGAGTCGGGCAACCAGATGGTGTCGTTATCCCTCGCACAAAAGATGTATTTTCTCATATTTTTGTTGTCGATTTTATTTGCTACTAGTGAGGACACTGTGGAATATAGTAAATACTTAGTTTTCCAGTTAGTTCAACCCATCTATTCATTGTTTTGATCCATCTAAAAATTGAAGAAGAAAGCCGTAATCATATTCCAACTTAGTACTGTTCATAGGTTTCTGATGGTGAAACGTGTAAGACAAAACAATTTTTCATTCGTTGGTTGATTTTAGTTATCTAACCAATTACTCAAGAATGTGTTGAAACACTGTCAGTTGTTGAGAGGTGTGTCTGTTATCAGTAGTTCTGTTGTTTGACAGAAAAGTTAGGTTTTTATATCGGTTTTAAAATACCTGTCTACTCTTCATCATTGTTGTTGTTTTTGTAATTCTTTTTGTAATAGTACTAGGTATAAGTATCCCAAAATACACTATATTGAAGTCACGATTTTGATTATATATTGAGAGGAACGCAAACCGTAGATAGTTCTGTTATCTGCGTTCATTGATGAATTTAATGGTTTTCACTGTGTAATGAGTGCTCAACTAATCTGGTTTTAGGTAACCTTTATTCCACCCCATGGCGAACAAATTCTCTCTTGTTTCCAGGACGGATCTATTTATGCATGGAGCACAAAATCTCTCCAGTGTTTGTATAGGCTAGTTAGCAGAGACTACCCAAATCCAGCGTATAGAACTATTACATTTACCAGGTTTGTTTGCTTAATTCATGATGATGGTGATTTATTTTACTTTAATGACAACACTGAATACTTGTTAGATGATTTTTGTTTTCCGAATATTCGTCACTGATTGACATTAGATAATTATTGAGAGCCACGGAGCAGTCGACGGCTGTTTAATCGTTATTTGTTTATGTTCTCAGTAAGGTTCTTTGCTGAAATTTGTACATATTATGGAGATCTATGCTTCATCTATCATTTGGGGTTTACGATGAACGTAAGGTCGAAATATTCAAATGTCTGTGCAGATATACGCAAATGTATACTCACATTATCCTCATCTTAACTACACTTTACCGAATCTCACCATTTTGTCACTCCTCTTTTCTTTCTTCTCGTACTTTATATTTCTTTTGACTGCATTTTCTTATCTTCATCCTTCACCTCACTACCTTTCTACTTGATGTACTGATATGAGGTATGGCAACTCGGACCGTTACGCAGTAATGCCTGGTCCTATGTTGATATTGATTGATTGATTGATGTTCAGACACTCCTAATTTATACTGACAGCGATTAAAAACTGTCAAGTTTAGCATAGAGTTTGACCACTTGTTAGTAAATAGATCCCAAATAACAGTAAATGTAAAATAGGGTCTAATTTTCACTACTACGTTAACCGTCAAAAAATCTCATCAATCATATGGTTGACCACTAATCTATATTTCTGTTGTCGTTTGAACCAACTGAACATTCCACTGTTTGTGAGCCGTATCTTTTATTCCCACATCGACATGTTAAATCTCTTATAATTTGCCACAGTGAAACTTGACCGTCTAGACCATGAATCCTCAACTCAACTTGAATTGGCCAAATTTACTTCTATACTTTATTCTTTTTATCTTATTTCAGCATTAATTCTTTCTTTCACACAATAATTTATTTTCTTCACTGTTCTTTTAGCAAAGGTCATTATTTATTCGCAGCTGGTCGTTCGCCATTTGTTTACTTATGGAACTTACAGGGAAATTCCGATATGAAGTATCACGAAACTTCAAGTACGGGCGATGGGAGTGTAAGTGGCCAGTTTTTGCAAGAACTGATTAAACTTCCTGAACCATTGAAGTCAGTTCGTCGGATAGAATGGATTCCCAAATTTATTTTGGTTGAATTCGATCAATTTTATCATAAATTTAAGATATGTGACGAGGTATGTACAGCTTTATTAACTTATGAAGGTTGTGCTTAGTCTGATGTGTCAGCATGAACCACTCAATATTCAGTTATGCTAGGTCCACTAATGGCATTGACGTGTTGAGGGTTTTATTTTTACTGTGAATAACTTGATAACTATTTTACATTTAGATAAACATCAGTTAATTCATAGTTGGTTTTTAACTGGTAAGCTAGGGTGTTTTTCATTACTTTAAAGAAGATTGAGTCACTAAGTTTGTTTATTAGATGTTCATCAATTGGGTATTGGGGTAATGTCTGATAGCATCATGTTACTAAAATCAAATAATTTGAAATCAGTAACATCCTCAGCAAGTGCTAGTTGTAAAAGAAAACGCCTAGCTTTCTTCGTCAATGTAAGATTAAAACTTGAGGAATGTGGTAGACCATAGTTTCAGAAAGTAATATTTTATCACTGCATGCTGTATCGCATAAGCAAGATATAATAAGACGGGGGTTATCTGAGAAATGTGATGTATTCGAACAGTCTGGTCACATTTACTCGTCAAGGCGTTTATATGAAGGCTGAAAATAGGGTTGGGTAAGGTAAATAGATTCAGATAATACAAGATTTGGAAAATATGGGGATAAGGAGGAAGAATACATTTTCACACATCCCTTGGCATTAGAATGAGTTAAATATTACCACGGAAGGTTCAAGTTAAGGATAGATTGCTTTTCAGTACACAAAGGGGGTTGAAATAAATCAATATAATATGGCTTTCTTCATAGATCAGATTGTCTTTCCGTGATACCTGCAGTAGCTGAAGTTTTACTTTTTGTCAAAAAGCTAGAAAGGTTAGACTTATATCTGTAGCTCAAGTAGATGACCTTGGTTGTATTGTGTTCCTTGAGCTGGGTGGTTTGATTATGAAGCTTTCATTGTCCTTCTAGACAACGACATCAGCACTAACTTCAATATGGAATGATGCTGATGTCTAGAAAGACATTGAAAGCTTCATAATCAAACCACCCAGCTCAGGGAACACAACACAACCAAGGTTAGAATAAGAATAACATAGAATAAGAATATCATACATTCAATATGTAATTTATAGGTGTAATCCACTTTTTTATTCAGTATCATTAGTCTTGCATTGATGGATGCTTCCAGAATAGTGAGTAGGTTGTTTTAGCGGCAAAATCGTAAGCTCCAAGAATGGTTACTGATCAATTTTTCCCGATGGTTCATGGTCGCGTGATAACTACTCACGAACTGCTACTGCTGACTTAACGCTTACAAACCAGGAATGTCAAAAGACGAAGTTATTTGTACTGAATAAAAACCACTTGAGGATAATGGTTTCGACAAAAAGCTAAATCACTGTAGTATTTATAAAACTTAATGTAGATGCGTGTTTACCATTGGCTGAGTTACACACTGTAGTTTACACGCACGTGTGTATACTGAAAGGTCTTTGTTTGCAAACGTGAAAAAAACAGTAACGATCCTAATGTATCGGCTGTATATTAGGTCTGATAAATATTTGTATCATTTTCTCAGAGAATGATGATAACGGAAAAGTGAATCTACGATAAATTAATTTTTTTTTTCGTACAAAAATTGCCTAAACGAATGCAAAAGTTTGTTTATTACCCTATTTGACTAGATATCTGGTTTTTTAAAAATAATTCTATTGAAAAGCTATTGTTTACATAGCGAAACTTTCAAAAAATCTTGTTTCTTATTTCTAAAATATGTTTATAATCTATCTTGTTGGACCCCAGACCTAAAATGTTGACAGGAGATTGAGCCTGGTCATCTTTTTGCCACCAAATAAATAAAAATAAATAAATAATAAAAATATGAACTACTTATGACAATTGAAAGATCCCCCTGAATTTCGTGAAAGTGATGCACCCACATACTTTTGCGTTCTATGCGTTTGTCTTTCATTATTTTTGTTCTGCTTACTGTTACTCAACATAAAAAACATCGAATGTTTTTCTATTTCAGTTATCTGGTCTGTTGCTTCTACTTGGTAATGATAAGCGATTACGCTTTCTCATAAGAATTTACGAAAAACCTAAAAGAACAGGTTGCTCACAAAATTCCTCAAAGAATCAAATGTCAGAGGAATCAGATACCATCTATTGGAAATGTTTATTTACATTTGGGTTGGGTTCATTGGAAGATCCACTGATAACATCAGTTACTACACCATTATTAAACATTTTGGATCTGTCTGGTTGCCAGGGGAAGCGGCATAACAAATCTTTCAACTGTAGTTCCCTAATTGCTATTCTTGATGACCATGGAATTTTACACATTAATGATCTTTCCATGACATTGAAGGTCTTGAATAGTGTGAGTTATTTGTCAATCCTTTTTATGTATTCAGATTAGATCCGAAGGTTCACGATTTTTTTAGTCCCGATGTTTCATAATTATAATGGTCTGTTTTTCAGATTCTTAAGTCAAAATGTTTAAAAAATAGGTAGTTCTTTTCGCGTATTCAATAGTAAGTTATTTCACTGAAAATAAATATCAGAGATGTGTACACAAATTAGGAGACCAAATTTGAAAACTACCGTTGATGATTTCATCGGAATACTTTTCTCACACCTAACTTATGGTATTTTTTGAAGTATTGGTTACATAATTTTACGCTTGAACGTTTTTATAAGCCATTCATGGACAAAGATTTGTAGCTGAAAATTTTCGACTTAAACTCACCTAACAAAGTGAACGTCCAAAGAGAACTTTAATTACTAAGGCGCTATGAGGCAATTGACCTAAAAAACCTACAGCTAGCCATTTTTAAAGATTTAAGTGAAGCCAAAACGGAGGACGAATAATATCATTCAAACGTATGGCAGCTTCAAAGTATTCCATTATTGTAGGTTCAGGTTTTGCTGTACCGTCTTAAATGTTGCTGTTTGTCATACTTAGCAGGCCTTTTAAGATGCATGATTGAATGATTTGAGAGAAGTAGATCGATTACCATCCAGATCGTTAATGCACAAACCACTTATTCAACCTCCACCGGATATTTTAACATCAGCACACTTTTGGTGGGCTAGCAATCTTCTTATTTCTTTATATATAGACAACCTTCGTTTTGTTGAGTAAGGATGCGATCTGACATCATCTCTTATTTTGTATCTTTAAGGATTTTATCAACATTTTATGAGTCCTATACAAAAATACAATCACGGATCATCGCTGTTCACCAACAGTGTAGAAGGAAAGGTATGTTCAGCTTCAGGAATTTTTAACCTTGCTATCAGTAGCATTCTTGAGTTATCTCTAAAGGAAGGTGCACAGTGGTGCAGATTTTCTTCCTTTTTGAGGGCATGAATAAGATACGATCTTACTGTGTGGCAACATACACATGCAAGCCACTCAAATCTTATATAATCAGTGGCTGATCGATGTTTGTATGTATGGTATACTTTTGGCAACATCAAGCTATTTCCACATTGTTGTCAGAAACCTCTTCATGCACTTAACCTTGATGACGGATCGTAAGAAGTAGCAGAAAAGTTTGTTTACCTGAGTAATTTTTTAAGCACCGATGGAGGTGTGGCACAATTTCCAATCATATATTGATCTCTGTCATCTTTAGCGCTGCCGCTACATTAACCTGGTCGAGTGTATAGCGAATCGGTGCGAGCAGTTGTACTGTGTTTCTGTGATACCCATCCTATGCAACCTGAGATTGTCCGACAACATTGTTTGCTAGATCAACATCATCTCCTTAGGATTTATTATACTCGGTGGGGAAAAAAGTTTAAAGTCAGGTAAAGCGTATTAAAAAGTAGTGGAGATAGTGATACAATAATTCGTGTCATTTTGGGACACTTTCTTCGATGGTTTGGGAGTATTTGGCACATATTGTCTACCGGCTTCCGTTTACCAGTCAGTCCTTAAGTCGTTTGCGAAAAATAGACACCTGGTCAGTCCATGACATAGCATCCTGGGTTGCAGGACAGTTGTTAGGTTATCTTCTCTTACTACCACGAAATTCCTGTGAACTCTGAGAGATTAAGTGTTTGTATCATGAGATGTTAGCTATGACCCATAGTTGAAAACATGTCATACTTCAGCTTTCATACCTCTTCTTTTGTGTGGGAGTAAGACGAAAGTAAAGAGCCCTATGTCTTACTGAACAACAGATTGATTTGTAGATTTGACCAGACAGATCAGAATGATCTGAACATCGGACGGCCGTTTCTCCTGTTTGGGATGGAGCTCATCAATGGTATATCTGGGAAAATTCAGTTCACATAGCCGACTCCTAGCAACACTTGCTGTTCGGTGCTACGTTTCGCTAGCTCGTGACACCTTCGTGTCAGAGATCACAACATATGATTTTGGCTGAGTGGTTTCCATAATGAACTGTTGACACCATCATTGGCGAGTTGAGAAATCTACTCAGCTGAGAGAAAAGTCAACGTATGAGCTGCACAATTTGTAAATCATTCGCGAATTGTTCATCCTAAGAAATAGCATTCTGTGTTGCATGTTCATTGGTCGTCAGTATGTCTGGGATTTATATTTAAAGCATTATTTCGTCATATTTCGTAGCTGTTTATCGGTTTAAGCGCAGAAGTTTTATGGTCCAAAAATTACTGAAAAGTTATCGACTTCTGGATTTCATTCTGGAGGTGATTAATTATGCATGTTAAGTAATTGAAGTTTCTAGATTACATATGGCTCTTTAAAAAGGTGTGAACTATACTCTGATTCTGAGTATCATATATTATTGGTATCAAGTTATTCCCCTGATATTTTTAAGTTGATTCTGTAAACGACACTTCATTATGATTGAATCACAGACTTCTTTTTCATCCATTTGAACTTTATCCGAAAAACATAAATCTCAAATGAATTTTTTCTCTCCGAACTGCGGTATGTATCTTCTTAGTCATCAGAATAAATTGATGTTCATATCACATATTATTCCTTCTTTCCAGTTTAGAATCGAGATTTTGTTGTTGAAGGTCATCTATTTTTGATATCTTGGAATCTACTGATATAAAGTAACTTTTGGAATGTTCATCTAGCGCTGAAGATCGATAACTAATGTGTAAACGATATTGTCCTTATTCATTCATAAATTTAATTTTTCTTGTTTTTCCATAATTTTCCTGATTATATATTTCTCGTTTCAATAAATCTTGTCATTTGTCTTCATTCTAGTCATCAGTACCGGTAACTCGAGTGAAAGACAATAGTTCAGTTAAATGCTCACTACCTAGACCATTAAAAGACGTTAAGAATAATGAAAAAGCGGGACTTCACCCCTTCAAGGGCTTACAACCACTACTAAGGAAACGTGTACAGCAGTTTCCAGTATCACACAAATGAAAGACCCCGTGAGTTGTTTTCTAGCTATGGAATCCATCAGTTTGTTTCAAAATTACAGTTTGTGAGCGTATTTCGTAAATATCTGCTTATTATTTTTCATATTCATTTTTTGTTCTAAAATTTGGCAGTCATAAGGTCTATAGATTTCCAATATTTTATTATCTATTGTTTGATACATAATTCCTCCAATCATTTAGATGTATGAAGTATTGTAATTATGAATAATGGCATTACTAGGCTTCCATCGGTGTGATACTTTTGTTTTAGGCTACTAGGTGAAGGTATTGATGCGCGTTTGCTAGCCTAAAATAGGAGACGGCTATTTTTTTACATAATACTGTATTGAATACTTTTTGCCTACTCTCTGAACAAGATATGGTTTTTCATCGTCTATTCCCTGCTATGAGTGAATTTCAAAACGAGGTATATACGTGATAGTGTTTATAAATGTACTAAGTCAAGTATTACAGTATCGGTTTCTGGAAGCGTAATCTGAAGATTGCGATGCTCGTATTTTCAGTGTAAATGTAATTTTGGGTGAACTTTGAGCGGAACTCACAGAACTACAAGAATATGGGCTTTAAGAAGTTAAACCAGTTGTTATCATCAACTGTGAAATCATGACTCAAACATTTTTTTTATGAATGTTGGAGCCTTTCTGCTATTTATGTCGTTTAGTCTCTATTCGCCTTTAGTAGTCGGCGGTGGTTTTGGTTAGTCTATCAGATTTTCACATAGTCATATTTGATTTTGTTTTTCTCTCTGTTTCCTCTTCTTTTCTGTCCCGATATTTGCTCCCATTTCGGCTTTCCTTACTGTAACATGAAGCTTTCAACTGTTGAAATAGCTAACTGCTATCATTGACATTGGGGTGGTAATTTTTTATAACTTCCGAATAAAGTTGTAAAGACGATCTATCACACCTCACTAAACATTGACTTCAGGGGGCAGATGTGGTGCCAGATCTTAGAAGAGATCCTAATGTTTAGGGCGCATAGTGCAATACTGACGTATAACTTCATATTAAACTTGCTCATAGATCGTAATCCGCCACTGTCTACCTTAGTTTTTAATTTAGCATTCTTACATATAACAAAAAACTGTAACACTGCACACCGCTTTTGCTGGACCGAAACTGAATTATTCCTATAAACCTAAATGTATTTACCACTGAGATGGTTTCAGGTTAGTAGGAGCTTTGTGTTTCAGTATGCTAGCAGAGTTTACTGAACTTTAAATTCAGCCTGCAAAATGGATTTTTATATTTTTTGTGCCAGGTCTGATGCGCTTGCTTCTCACTGTATACACTAATGTCATCCATACACATAATCACATCTGAAATACTGTAAAGAATTATATCCGTCGACGAATTTCTGAGGCAGATCACCACATCTATTCATGTTTATCAGCTTATAGCATCAGACGTTACTAAAACATAGAGGTATGTACTGAAGAGGTCTATATATGCAATGAATTTATTACAGTTTGGGGTTAAGAATGTTCTCAGTAGAGGCATGTGCTAATAGGAGGGAAGCAATTTCTAAACTATTTCACTATGTTATTCTGGGTGAAATAAATTTATGAAAGAGTAAAAATTGGACACCGGTAGAGTTCAGTGGTAGTAAAATAAAATGGAGAGCTGTTGGAACCTAAAAGTGAAGCTTAAATATTGTGTGATATATGATTATGATCAATAAGTTCTGCTCAAAACGTCATTCATCTAGTAAGTAGTACTGTATAGATGTATGGGATGTCGAGTAAAGTAGAAAGTTACGACACTTGTTTAGATCTACTGGATTGTGCTCTCGAAGCAGCAGATTATGCTCCCATATGCCATTCTGTTGGATGAGACCGACTCTGAACAAATCTTCAGTATAGAAGAGTCAAACATCAAATATCACCTCAAACCATTAATGATATCAACTGGTTGTTCGATGCTACTAACAGACACACTCGGTACTGATTAACATCTCAATTATATTCAGCTATCATTCCAATGGTACCTCGACGTTTACTAAATCTAAACTCGCAACTGACACCATTATCAGCCGGCATTTTTGGTGGACAATTGTAGGTTTTTAACGACTGACAAGTCGCACTCACCTTTCATTTTAGAGCCAATTCACTTCATTAGATAAAGAGAAATAGAAGGGGTGCAATGCCACTTTGCATAAATATTTTCCATCTTTTCGAGACAGAAAAGTATTAATGACATTAGAAATGCAAATGAGGTTATTAACAACTGTGATTGAAATCTTTTATATGTAATAACAAATAATGTTGAACATGGGAAAGTTTATTACCAGATTTCCAACCCTTCATTTTGTTCATTTCTTTGTCCTACTCTTCAATCATGTAAATTCATAATATTTTGAAGTTGCACAATCCATGATAATTATTTTCCATCCACTTCTAAGCCTTCTCGATCAAGAATATTCACCCAATTATTTTATAAATTGTCTATCTTCCTGTCTCGTTTCTAGCAATCTCTTTTACATCAGTCATTTAAATTATATGTTACCGGTTGGTCCTGTCAATAACTCCTTGTGAAGTTGTTAAACGTATATTCAATTCTTGCTGTGTATATTTTGATATTATTTAGGTTACAGTTGGGAAGAATCTTCGAAATAATAGAAATGAACTCATATTATCCTACTACACTTGTTGTTATTGTGCTGTTAAACTCGGAATTCGTCTCAAACAATTGTGTTATTTTTATTATCAATTTTTCAGTCATCAAAAACATAGTTAGTTAGTTGGTTTTCGTTAAAAAAGTTAGCATAGTCAACCGATAAAAAAAAAACCTTTTACTGTAAACAAGAGTATGTGCAAAAGGTAAAACAAAGATTTAACTGACTATGGTAACAGCAATAGATCATTTTGATGGGTCAAATCACTAACAGTCTGGATACAGAAGTAAGAATATTTCCTTAATGTACATGCTCATTGAATAGATTTTTCAGAAATATCATTTTGGTGCTTTTGATGGGAAATTACGCATTTATCAAATAGAGTAAAAGTTCAATCTTAGATTGGCGGGAACACAATTTTTTTGATGTTGTCTACAAAATGTATTTGCACTGAAGTCTAATGTGATATTTCATTCTGATTTAATGCTTTGTTAAGTATAAATGTACCTGGTGCATTATCTTATAGGTCAAAATAATTTATTGATTCAGTGTAGTTTGGCTGTTTTTATTTTTGTTTTCATTCACTACCTTAGACAAATGGTCTGTTGGATCGCAAGCGCTTACGTCTGTTACTTGGAGAATTTGGGAAATTTCCAAGCAAATATCGGTAATTTCTTGGATGTATATGTTAATTTTTGCGTCTTACATTGGTTATTAAGTATTGGTTTGATGTTGGTATTCAGTATAGACTGACATTAGTTGGGGAGATATTCGAAACTTGGGAGCACTGGATAGCTGTTTTGTCCTTGCTTGGGACTCCTCAGCAGTGCGCGCCCATGACCCTGTTAGGGCTCGAACGCAGAGCCTTCAAGTTCCGTGACCAGAACGTTACTATTGAGCCACTGGGTCTGAATTCAATGGTCTACATCTCCTACTTCTGTCAGTTCACGATTTAGTGTGACCATTCAATGCCGGCGTTGAGTATTTGTCGTAATATCCGACTTGGTTGACCCCATTGGTTAAGACTTCTCATTAGAACTTCGGGAATCACCGAAGCTAGTCACCGGAATAATACCACTTAGAGGTTTGTGGGGATTTATTTATGATTTCAGGTTAGTGTTCACCATGGACTGACATCAATTCGAAGAACATCGGAAACTTGGGAGCAGTTGGCAGCTGTTTTGTGTTTGTATTGGACTCTTCAGCAGTGCGCACGTACTGGTTGCGGAGCCTGAAGGTCCTGGGTTTGACCCCTGGTGGGGTCACGGGTGTACACTGCTTAGAAGTTCCATACTGGGACGAAACAGCTTTCCGATACTTCCAGGTTTCCAGTATTTTGGCAGTTGATATCAGTCCATAATGAATACCAACTGGAAATCAATAAATCCCCACATACCTCCAAATTGTATTAAGTATCAGTTTCTCATGATTTGAAAGTAACTTTATCATACCAAGTTATTAAAAGGTGTTAACTCAGTGTAAATATAGAGGAAACAAAATGAGAACGAATTTGTGAGTTATACAACCTACGAGTCAAGTCAAAACCTGATGCTAAAATTTTCCCTTTGGACGTTAAGCTGTCGTTCTGAAAACTATCACTGCAGGTTGTATATTTAAAAGTTCGAATTTATTATTCTGACTGTGATCAGTGTATTTGTAAATGCTATCTTTAAAGTCTCATCCTCTTTTTATGATTATCTGATATCCTTACGATCGTTAATTTTGTACATGTGAGTAGTGTCGGAGTAACTCTAAAGGCTACCCTTACAATTCAGATATTCAGTTAGGTTTCTTAATTTTATGAAAAACTACTGCCTAGTCGAAATAGAGAAACGAAAGTAGCTATTGAAGGAAGAACAACTTTAGCGAACAAATTTGCTTTCGGCGATGTCATCCTTTGCGGCTGCAAAATCGCCTTTAAGTATTGTCTGTGTGCATATTCATTTATAACAATGTTATTATATATATTTTGATCATTAATTCCAAGTAGATGGTGGACAGCAAAATAATATAGGAATGAAAATCACTTAAGAAACATGAAAAAAAAAGGGGGCATCGTGAATAAGCAAGTGTGAGGTGAAATCAAGAATTGAAGACTGAGTTAGAAATTGAGTAAACTGTTGTCAGTGAAGAAAAGAATGAGAAATTGATAACCGAACTAAAAACGTTTGCTTATCAACATGAAAATTAAAACACTAGTTAACGTGAAGAACTGGAAAGTTGAAAAATTAAGAAATGAATAAGAATAATTGATAGCAAAGTTTCTTTTGGATAAACAATTCCGGTTTGATCTTCCGTACTGCCAGAACCTTAGCACTCCAAAGTAAATTTTTCCTCATACTCTTCGCAAGATTATGTTATATCTTGTAAACTACTGCAAACGAACCTTCTGGAATGTTATCTGCTGCCAACTAAATGTCGTAATACGGAGTAGTGAATTACGCTAGATGTTGGTATCGATGCTGAACGTCGTTTATCTCAATGGTTTCTAGTATGGTTCCCAAAGTCACTGTACTCTACCGTTGCAAATTCACGTGTTTCCTTGCATTTACTGAATCGAATGACCTGTGTGAAATTAATAAACTGCTTGAGTGCTTATCATTATAAGCTTATAATAACAGCTTTTCTGATCTGATCTGATTGGATAAGTTCTAGCCATTATTAATCTTCGTTAGTAGTCTATAGTTTTTTTACTGTGTGGCGTCACTTATTGATTTGTGTTGCGAAGATATGGTCGTCCACACCATTAAAGTTAGGTTTGGATTATCGCATAACATCTATTCATTAGGTACAATACATATTGCTTACTATATTTCTTAATCGGTGGTTGCAAAACAGTTTTATCTTCAATGAAGAAATGTAGCTCAATGAGTATAGTAAGTTTTGACTGATTTTGTTTTGTCTCTGCATATTCCAAATTTATCCTATGTTTATATTGTATGTATTATCTTTCTGAACGTAAGTGATAACGTTACAGTTAATAGGCTTTTTCATAGGTAGTCAATTGGCATAGAGTCTAATTGACTATAATTCTCGTTGCTGTTTTTTTGATACTTACTTTTGATCAGTTTTCCTGCTACAGTTGAAAAGTATCTTAGAGATATCCAAAAGTTTTCTCTGAATCAGTGCATATACATGAAGACCACATCCCACTTTTGTCAGTTGCGTTTTTTAACCCAATGACAAAACAATGTTAAAAAGTATCCGAGATGTTTTCATCGGCAGTATCCACTTTTCCACTTCATTTCCCTTATTTTTAGTTTCAGTTATTCAACCCAAAGAAGATATTCAAAGTGAAAGACGTTTCGATTTATATATTTTGTATCACTATATAATTTTAGTTTTGTAATCTTTTTTTCTCGAAGATTATTCATTTGGCGTTCTGTCTTACAACTTCCATGCAATACTCAAGCTTTCAATACTCTTTTGAAAAAAGTGATTCATCCAGCTCATAATCTTTTATCAAACAGATATCCTATTCGAGGTCAAAGATTATTCAGAGCCGTACAAAAGTAAGTTGGCAATACTTCAACATTTTATTGAGTTTGTTTTGGTAGCTCGAATTTGGGGGTTTATTTTTATTCGTGCACTAATTGTTTTCACTTATAACTGCGTAATTGTGGTTCAGAAATAATCTGGGAATTATTCATCAGTGGTTTTTGTTTTCGTTGCTTAGCTTATAGTGAGCACTGTGATGAAAAGAAGTTTTCAAAGTCGGTTCTTATTAGCAATCTTGTTATCAGCCGATTCACATAACAGCTATCTGATGATAAAGCATTACAAACGTCCTGAACATATATTTTTAATACTTATATCAGTCACAGTAACATAGGCATAATAAATCAATTTATTAATTATACCTTGTTTCTCAGTTACTTACTTTATGCTTGGCATGATTAAAATAAAAATCTCCCCACCTTTTTTTCCATTATATAAAATCAATAAAATAGAATTTGTTCAGCATTGGCTTACTGGTGTCCCTATTGGTGAGACCGATTGGTTACCACTGTTTATTTTCCCCTTTGTGAAGTTGCATCAAAACAATTTGTTGCATGCGTTTGAAGTGGTTGCTACAATACTGAGTAAGTTCTTATCATTATTGAAATACTATTTCGGTAGCACACCCAAAACATTTTTTTCATAATATGCATGTTATTAATGAAGCTACATAATTATAGTGTTGGTAGGTGATGTGCTTAAACTTTAATCCACTTCTTTGCGCATAACTTATAGTTGATCGGTCTTTCTGTTTATTCTTTTAATTGTACTTTTTACTGACAATATAATTTATCAATGTGTTGTCTGAGTTGTATTTATCTTCTGTATTTAGACCTTCTCCGTGAGCAGAGGAACTTTGTGATCGTCCTGAGTACTGTTGAAAGAGAGTCTAGTAGTCTGTATTATGATGTGGGTCATCATGTGATGTGAAATAACAAACATCGGTTTTACTTTAACTTTTGGTGCATAATTAAATAGTTTGAATTTTCCTTAGTAAATGTGTGGGAATTACCTTCAAAAGTGTACTCTTATATCTGCCATCAGTTTGGGAAGTCTTTGACTACCGGTCTGAATCGTGTAGGGGAATGTACACTTTTTGGTCGGGGTCCGTGTGACAACCGAAATTGGTGGTTGAAGATTAGATGATTTATCTTAGAATCGATCTCAGTGGGGCAGATGAATTCTCGCACTATCTTCATCTTAATCATCATATTGAATTTCATCATTGTTTTGTTTACTTTTCTCCCTATTTATCATCTTGTTTTCCTTGCTTTGATGTGCTCTTGTAAGGTATGGCAAATTGGACTGTTACGTAGTAATATCAGGTGCCACGTTGATATTGACTTCCTGACCTGTTGGCACTGGAAAAAGGTTAGGTGAGTGGTTTACGGTCCTGAATACAAACACACTTATTCGCTTATCCTTCTCAAGTGATCCTTACTTTTATATTAAAAGAATATGAAAAATAGTTTTTTGAAGGCCAGTAGGCCTATTATTTAGCTCAGTGAAACAAAGAATTTACTAGAATCTGCCTCAAACGAAACATCGTCAGAAGTAACTTAATGCGCTAAGGTAAATCGTCATATCCTAAAATGAACGGTTTATTGCAGTTGGAAAGAGAAGTTATTAAAATACCACCGAAGTAATCTGATTTTTTAGCATACGAACACACTACAGCTTACATGCATCGCAAGAGACAGAAAAAGTTATGTAGGTGAGATATAGGCACTTGGTTGTGTCAAAGTTTGCGCATTGAAGTGGCTGTCAACTGAAAAACAACCTTCCCTAAAAGGTTAAAAGTCATACTTTTTTACATCAAAAATACTTCGCAAAAACAAAATCCAGTGTTGGCTACCTTTGACTCGTTGATGTGGGTATCATATGAAATTGTGGAGTGGGGTGTGGAATGGTCAACGCCTAACAATGCAAATCTAGTGCCGTCTGTGCGTTATTCAACTGAATTTATCTATGAAAACTGGGATAGATTGGAACATTAATCAATGCCAGTGAGAAAAGCATGTTGAATAAATCCACGGTATTCTGTTCCGACGAACTGATAACGGTGATCTTCTCTTACAACTTTGTTTTAACAGTCAGTCACTTGTTGGTGGTGAGTGACACTATCAAACATAAGGAGAGACTTTGTTTGACTTGGTGTCGACGGACATCAAACCAATGATGAGCACAGATGAATCAAATCTCTATGGACCATCAGTGATAAGGATCGATTTATGGATAGTGCTGTTTTCAGATTATCTGCTTGTATCTGAACTACACATTAGTGGTGGCACGTAGATGTTTATGCCCTAATAAACACAGGAAGAAAACGGAAATGAAATATATGTGAGGTTGACTGGATGATGAGGACATCAGGTGTGCATTTATCGATGAGATAGTTAAGGATTTGTCTGAAGATGACTCACTTCAGTTAGTTGTGACTACAATGAGGATCAGAAATCGACTAGAAGTCTTCTCAGTGACCGGGAGCAGTGTTGGGTGGAGTAAGCGAAGTTGAAGTAGACGACATTGTCACTAGTTAGTGGTCAGATATTAGTTTCGCTTATCAACGAAAATCGGCATGTCTAAGACAATGGTCAATGAGACTATCACCGAAAAGGATGAGTGTTTGATGACCCTTCATAGCAAATGACTAAAACGTTAGACAGGAAACTTTGAAGAACTGTTGAACAGGCTCATCCAAAATTTAACCCTTCAACTCCCCTTTGATCTGAAAAGGGGATGTAAAACAACAGGACCTAACAATTTGCGACGAATGAGGTAAGAAATTACTGATTAGAATAACTGAGCTGCTAGGTAGTGCATAAGAATCACATGTTGTGTCGTCATGCTGCTTTACATAATTGATAATTACGATTTATAAGAAAGTAGAAAAATTCCTACATGAGGATCACTCTGACTAACATTGTGTCTGATACCCTTGTATGTGCAGTTTTATGATGCCTAAATGAATTTCAGAAGCAACAAACTGGATGGAACCTGATAGGTTTCAGACCTTTACGAGAGTGCTTTGGTCAAATCTTCACCCTTCAATAGGTTTTGTAATACAAGCATACTTACCCGCAGTCGTCGCTTGCAATGTTTCTTGGCATGTAGCTGCGTCCTCGTTGATCTAGGCTCTCGACTTCCAAGCAATAGATCATGGGCCTAAGCTCTGACCCATCTACCGATGTTTAGACAGCCAGGTACTACTACCAGTATTAGCTCCCCTCCCCCACAATGGGTATGACTCCTCACCTACTGCATGAACATGCAGGTGGCTATTGAAGGCAGAATTTGATTCTGTCTACCAAACGTATTGTGGCAGTGTCTGACTATTTACGTAGTATCTAGCAAGTATGTAGTGCTAATCAAAACTTTATTTGAACTCACGCGACCCGTAAGGGTGTGTGGGGATTTGTCATCTGAAGGGATGACAAGCAGTGGTGTTCGCCAGAGGTGCCTGCTATCACCGTTTTTATTTAACTTTGCTAACAGATATAACCCTAGGTATTTCCGACTTCTCTTAATCGCAGGAGGGCATCTATTTGATTTGAAGTGCTTTGACAACAATACAGTAACAAAATGCAGAGTCTTGTAACCCGCCTTGATCAGAAATATAAACATGTTTGGCATACGTTTCTCATTTGTCAAATATAAGATGGTGCTTCGAGACTGGGGAATGAAATTGTCGAATGTGTTTATTACTTCACTTACTTGAAAAGTTATCAGCTTAATGGGCTGTTTGCTGATAAAAGCTCACTTTAGAAATTAAAGACCCATTTGGCATTTGTTAACTTGCGTCATCTCTTATACCAGCGAGATATTCAACTTCTTATTCAAGGATGAGTAAATACCAGCAGTTGAACTTAGTTTTGTAAGCATCTTTGACACCTGCTGTAAACGATTTTGCCTTAAAATATATTCAGATTATGATCTCAGTTCACTGGATTGATTCTTTGTGTGTTTATGTCATCAATCTAGAACAGATATGGATGAAAATTTAAACACGTAGAAGAAACGTCTTGAAATAATTTTCAGAGCGGATACACCATTAGAATGTGCTTGATGTATTTTTTCTTGTTCGAAGATGTTTCAGTATGCGGAATTGATGTTTCAAGAGTAAAAATATTTTGCATATGAAATTTCTTTTTACGTACTGTTTTTACTCTTGTAAATTGTAGCTAACTGGTGTGGCACTTGGTTTGAATTCTTCCCCAATCCACCTATCAATATTCTTTGTATGATTGAAAATTTGATTGCTCACGCCGACCCAGAGTTGTATCAACATTTCGTTCAGTATAACATCACAACCGAGGTAAGTGTATGTAGCGGAAGTCATTTTCGAATATGCTGTTTTATATTTAGATTTTTCCCCTTACTAACCAAATTTCTTGTTTTGTGTCATTTCTTTATGATTTCTACCTAATTATGACGTAGATTTTGTATTTTTGACAGTACATGGCAGTTTCTTCAAGATCAAAAACATCCTTCTATCAAAGTATAAGTATGTTTGAAGACTTACACCAACCAGTGCTTATTTACGATATATAACTCAATGTTAAAGCATGGAATGAAGTTATAGAAGTCGACGATAATACAGTCAGTGCCATCTTAGAATTCTATGTATTATTGTCAATCTGAGGACACACTCCCGGCCACTACATTGAACTTTCTAAAATATTTAATGGGTCAATGAGTCATGGATTTAGGGAGTTGACTTTCAACCAGTGGCGTCACAGGTTTGAACACGTTCACCTATCGATTTTTGGGCAGCTAGGTAGTATCATTAACTCTCGCACAATAGGTGTGACTTGTTGCTTACTGCACGCATTTGCATAAGGCTGCTTAGTGGGTTTCGATAGACATGTTGATTGTATCTTTAAAAGTGAGACCAGAAAGTTTAGTGCTGGTTTATTTCATCTTAGATTATGATAGCTACTGATTAAAATATTGCTATTCTGTTTTTAAGTTGCTACGGCAATAATTTTCTTGAGCTTTTAAAAATATTTTTCAAATTAATCGGTAAACCCAAATAGATTCAAGTCCAAATTCGTTTGTGATTTGATTTAGGTTTTCAAAGATGATGAATTCTCCAAGCTAATATGAAGTGCAAATTTTCTTTTCCATTCCAGCCTATCATATCTGATTTAGATATAATGAATTAAACATCATTGTTTCAAGTTTTGTTTACTGTGACTCACTGGAAAAGCCTGTTTTATTTTTCACTCTCATTCAATTCGCACCAACGGGGTTTGTGAACAGAAGGTTGAAAATGACAAATACAACGTCGTTTTAAATACGAATATGTTAACATCTTAACTTGTAAGCTGAATCACGTAACAAGCCTAGACATAACGATTAGTGTACAGTGTTTAATTTCACACATGAAGTGGTACCGTTTAACTTATCATTCGAGCATCACTTTTTATGTGTGTCAACGAGGATTTTTTACAATTGACTACAAATTAATTAGTCGTTATTACTATTCGTCATATTGAACTTTACCCAGTTCACTGGAATTTTAACTGATTTTAGATTTACGCCTGGCCACTCTTACAAACCGGACTAAGCGAAGTGTTCACTCAGGATGAGTGGTTATGTCTTTGGGACTCCTTAATATGTCATCCACCAGGTTTGTTGCTTGCTGTAGTTGCTGCTTATTCTCTTTGCTCTCGAGGGCCACTTCTAATGGTTCATAACCCTGATACATTCGAGGTACGTCATTCAGAAATGTTTACACTTTTATATCTCCTTGTTTACCAAGATTGACATTTTTTGCTTTAAACATCAAAGAAGTATCTTACTCCTTAAGCATACTGATTTTTACTACATTTTAAGGCTGAGATGAATATCTACCTTTCCACTGAAATCCCTTTGTTTTAGTAAATTTTCGATTTCCTGTTGATAATTTCGTCTAGAAAACTAGGCGCCCAAGTTAGAAGTCGATAGTCTACCATAAATTAAGTTTTAAATCTAGGACTGAACTGCATGGTCAATGAATAACTTTTAACTGCTCTTCATTTTTACTAGTGAAGTGTCAAGTACTATTTATTTTATAACATTTTGTACGAAAAGTAGATGTTTTGTTTCATTAGGCGATTCTGACATCAGTTCAATCTGAAGGATTTGGATTGGTGATCGATTCAGTCTATAAGCGACTATTCAAGCAGTGATGAATCACTTTTCTACTGTTTTGAAAGATTTGAATTATTTAATAGGATTATGTTAAGCAAACGACCGAAGTCATAAAAATGTTATTGATGTTTCTACACCAGTTGGAAACCTTTTAGGCATTTTGCCCGTCATTATATCTAGCTGCTTGTCTAAAAATCAGAAAAAAACATCTTAATCTATAACTTCTGACCTTGGAACATTAAATTAATTCTTCGTTGTCTGGAATAAAATGTGGTCCTTTTATTATTCCGATCGTCTCATCTATTTTCATGTGACCATATTTTAGTAGTAATGTTTATGGTTTTACAATATGGAATCAAGAACTAAGAAATCTGGATATGCATGATGCCTTATGACTATTAGTTAGGTTGTAATCTTCTTAATCTCATTATTTTGGACTCTAAGTCAATCAAGGAGATCCACATAATCTTATGTAAGTTACTGTCGATAGCATAACAACCTCACACCTTTAGCTTCTGTATAGTAAAAACCTTCACTCTCACTATTAGTTAACAGTAAGGTCATTCAGCCAATGTTTCTCCCAGCTTTTTACTCAATGAACATTATTTTACTATCAACAGGCTACTATCACAGTCAAAGCACACTATCAGTGTCAAGCGTTATTGATTGTGGTCATCAGCTACTGGCTTCATCACCTTCAGAAGTACACCCTGATAGACTTTTGTCTTCACTTATCCAATCCGACAGCAAAGATAATCAAGAAAATATTTGTCCATCTTTTCAACCATTAACGAGTCCTCATTATCCAATAATCACTCGCTATCCTAAGTTCATTGTAAATTATCACATACAAGAACGAGAACGTATTCGGGAGGAAGAAAAAGAATACCTTCGACAAAAGTAAGCCTTGTTATGTTTTGGACTTCTTTTATTATTCATTGAATTGGATTTCTTTCGTATACTTATCGTCAGGACTCCTCTTTTCTTCTGTGTGTAGTGATATTCGCAGCATAGACTATAAATTGCTAAATCTAATATTCTATGGTGCACTTTTGTCGTTAAAACGGTATACAGTTTCGACAAGCATTTTGTTCTCTATGATCTACATTAGAATTGGAATGGAAAATAATCAAATGCAGCAGGCATAACTTTATTGCAGCTTGTTAGTTCAGATTCAAACTATATCGATGTGAACTATGGCTTCTTATTTAAGTCATTAAGTTTATAGTTGAATAGACTGTCAGATCATCACATCAGCTAAGCATTAAAGCTATTCAGCACAAATTATATAATAGGTTGCTTAACTGCCTACCTCAATATCAACCAAAAGGTTACCAATGATTTGATTTTGAAAAGCTTCACCGTCCTTATAGAATTTTAGAACTATTCTTATTTGAAACCGTTGGTTCCCTCTTATAAAATTCGATAAAAAAAAAAGATATCATATATATGCAAGATGTCATATTTACGCAATAATTTTTGAACAGTTTGATCATACATGTATTTGTCGTGTACATTTATATGAAATATCACAAATGATAAGTGGGTTTACAAACATAATCGATTTAATAAAGAGTTAACTTTTTATTTTAAAAGTCAAATCGTAGCTGGTGAGAGGAAGATGATATGTAAGTTACCAACTAGTATTAAAGCTATGCTTCCAAGTGAAGCTTAATATAACAACAAATCTCTTTGAATGTATAAAACAAGTCTAAACTTCCTACTAGCTAGAGTTTTAACAAACTTATGTATGTGACCCCAGTAGGTTTTGTAAATTGGCGTGAAAGATGTATAAAAATCAACCTTGTAACCAATTCAGTAATGTTTACCTATTCTGAGTCGTGTAGAAAAGCGTAAGCTAGGTGGATACGATCCTTGGTGTCAGAAATTAATGACTAGAGAATTTCGGTGATGCGCATCAAAATCAGTCAAAGTGGTAAGGATGTATTCAGTCATCATCTTTTAAATTTTAAGCATTTTCGATAATCTTCATCCAATCATTTTCTTTCACTTCATTTTGTTTTCGTCCATTTTAATATAGATCTGTAAATTAAAGTAAGATATTTCGGTTGTTTTCACTGGATATTATTTTACTCCTTTAGTTATGCATTTTACACCTGTTAAATGTAAGATGATGCTTCAGGACTGGTCTGCGCCAACTACTAATTCAAGGATACGAAGTGAAATGGTCGAATGTGTAGACTGTCTGTCCTTCATCTTCAAGATGATATGAGTCAATGATTGCAGACCCTTGCTAACGTGACTGAAGATCGATCGCAGTAACACAGATGTATTTAGTCTTCGGTGTCTTCGATAGCTTGGACATTCACACTAACGTCCATTTTTCAGTTGCTTTCTCCTCCCATACACTTGTTTACTTTGATATCTTTCTATTTTATCCAGTTTTTCTTTGCAGGTTGCTGTGAGGTGTAGCAACTGAAACTTTTATGCGAGGTTGCTTTTGTCTGTCTGTCCTAGTTACCAAATGGAAATTATGGATTATTCTTACTACTGAATGCAAGGAATAACTGCAGTGATTTTGAAACAACTTGGGTTTCTTCGTAAATTTGATGTTGGCTAACTTCACTGACTGATTGACTGACTTACAAAACCAACTGAGAACCTCGTATACAAGTGCATCGCCTCAAGTTGCCACACTTCATAATAGTACAGAAAGAATAGGTAGATAGAAAAGGGTGAGATCAAAGTAGACAAAGTAGTGTGAGAGGATAAACAGTCTGAAGATAAAGTTTGCAAATATTCAAGCTTTAGAAGATGTCAATGAGTGACCGATTTTCAGCCATGTCACCAAATTTCTTCAACCACTGATTCCTTTCGTCTCGGCCACTCCAACTAGGCAGTCTGAATCTCCCCACACGACTCAGGACAACAGTCAGGGACTTCATCGACTGGTGCCACATCTTGGTCGGTCCACCGTGAACCCTCTTTCAACCTAATCCAACTTCCCTTAGCATAGGACGTTGAGATAAGCTGTGGCTCGGCATACCCAGCACATATGTAAGCCATTTCAGTCGGCTAAGGTTCATAACCTCATCAGTCAACTTGCCTGCCCTGTTTGTATCGTTCGCCTGACCACAATATTTCTGACACGGTGAATCCAGCAAACGCAACCAACAGTACGAAGACACCTGTGATCAAAACCCAGTAATCACTTCAATAAAGATAGGATGGGTCGTAAATACCAGTTATTTCATCGGGATTTGAATGACAACTTTTAAATTGGAGAATTCAAGAGTGAAGATTGTTTAGAAACTCAGAACGCGGAAATTGATTAAGAAATGGCTAAAAAATAAAATATTACACCAGCTAAGTATGTTGTAGAAAAAATGGATGTCTTTTTTAAGGAATGTCTTCAGAAAATGTGTAAGGGCTATTTTAGTAGGATTGTGTAACGAAATTCACGTGATTAAGCTGTTTATTTAAAAAAAGATTCAAGATTAAGACTGATTCAACTTCTTCACACAATTTGTGTGTTTATTTTTAGTGATTTCTCGTCACAACTAAGTGATATGCTGTGGCACCTTTGTATTAAGGTAAGGGTTACAAAGACTTAATAATAACAGCACTAAGTGATGCAGGTTTGAATCGCTCCGGGGAAACCCAGTCTCCTCAGGATTGCAGGTACGCCTTGCTGATCAGTACACACAAGAATTAAATCTAAGTCTTGGGCCTAGTGGCTCTTCCCATCATCTAACACCAAAACTATTGGTATCTGTTAGGCATCCTAAATACGAATAGATTGTTTATTTAACTAATTTTTCTGGAATTAGTCAGTGTTAAGTTGTTATTTACCATAAGCTGAAACCAGCTCTATAGTACTTTCAGTGTATTAGTTTAGAAATACTGAACATTTGTTCCAAATGACAATTTCTTGGTTTTTAGTAGTATTCCAGTTAGTGTTGACCTCCGATATACGCTATCCACAGACAAAGAATGTATAGTTTTCAACAAATTGAAATGAATGTACAGATAATTACCAACGTGACTGAACTATCGGTATTCCGAATACTGTTTCATTTTTAATTTGAAACCTCACAATGCAAGGATGTAGTTAAATGAAGTAGATTATCACTTTTACGTCCCTCAATCATATTTCGAAATATTATGAAATTTTATGTCCACTCAATGCGTATGTGTGTTTTACTAGCAGCTTTGAAGTTAATATAAAATTTGTTGTTTATCCAGAGCTACAGTTGAAGATATGCAGCGCCGAGCGCAGTTGATGGCAAATGAAGAACATAACTGGTGAGTGATCATTTTAATTTTATTGTATTTCAAGTTGGATGATTAACAGAATAGCCACAATTTACGTCCATTTTTAACTGCGATTTTCTTATTCAGTATTATTATTAAGTAATGAACCAGTTTTTCATTTTCGCAACGGCATAATGGGAATTCTGTGCTAACTTCTCACTAGATTGTTATGCGAAAATGTGTTGTTTTTTTCGCATACGTGGATAGTTGCCCGAAAAGCAAATGCACAAACATATGAATATATGCGTTGGCGGACCAAAGATGCGTATGAGATTGTTGACACTTCGTATCCATCGAAATCGACAAACAGTTGACCAAATGTTTCGTATTTTCGTTAAATAATGATTAGACAATTTTAAATGGTAAAATGCACGTTGTTTTAGAAAATGTAAACTTTAATTCATCATCCTGTTCTCTTATCGATGAAGATAAAATGTTCCATGTTTTAGTATTCAGATTATACACTGGGCTAACAGTTACACTTTTGATTCGTGAATCAAAAGCAAATCGTCTTCTTTATCCTTTTAAGAAACTCGCTAACCTGCAACTCCCCATTCTGTAGAAAGTTTTTGCAAATTGAGATACCGTTGTTCTTTAGTCCTCTTTCATATCAAACAAGGCTGTAGCGTCATTATTTGAGTAATATCCGATCATATTGTGTTGTATTCTTTAGGACGACATAGTTATTATCCGATGTCTTTTGGACACATTAGTCTTCCTGAAATAATTTTGAATTTGATTCGTGACAAAGCAGTGAATTCATGCGTTTTCAACGAAAAAATTGGAAACTTATATCATATTTCCAATTCATTTCTACTGATTCGAAAATATGAGTGAACGAAAACAGATAATCATATTAGCTGCCGCACAGTTTGTAAACATTTCACTTCTACCTAGTATTTATTAGTTAGTCACTGGGTGGGATACTTTATTTAGCATCGTACAATAGCTTGTTAATATAAAGTAAAATGTTAGTTATACTGTTTAACTTACTTCGATGGAGATAATTGATTTTCGCAGTAGTTGTTAAAAATACTTCAAACTGTAAGTAGAAAACTGTTACAAAAACCGATAAATTAAGAGTTGACGGTCATGCACGTTGTTTAACAACAACAATATTTTGCTTTACAAAGTGCGTGTAAAAATTTTAAATTAATAACAATCTGGTGTTTTCAGCTAAATGAGCTTATGTAACATATGCTGGTTAATCAAGCGTTTATGTTTCCTTGGTCATCATTATCATTCTAGATATTCATCAACAGTATGCAAGTTGAGTCTACCTTCCCACTCGTCTTAAACCTTCCAGAAACAAATGACCTACTAACGTTAGTGTTCGTTGCCTAAAATACTGAAACCTTTCAGTGTTAAGTGACTATCTCAAATCGTTATAAAACCTACCACTTATTCCGGAAACGAGGTTATATGAATGAAAATACAGTACGTAATGTACAATGTTGGTGGGTAATATGACGTCTGTCATCTGCATCTGTTATGTAGAATCATTATATATCTTACGTCTAGTAGTCCTGACCGATAAATACAACCTTCACATGTTGGTCAGGCTTGTCTTCATGAAACAGCACCACTCGTCTCCTGAAATCGCGCCCTAATATACATATTAAAGCTTCCAATGCCCACTCCCTCCTTCAAGTCAGCCAACAAGCTCCCCAAATCAAAACTCTGGCATCCAAGGCCATGGATGAGTGCTTTATTCGTGAGATGCATATACAGGACCGAAAAGTGGTTGCTCACTTAGCCTCAACCAACCAATATGGGGAATCTGCAAAATTCACCATTTGGGTTTCTGACTATACGATGGCTAGTGTGGAATTGATTGTTGAGACGGAAAGTGCACTGCTCAACTGCATTCCAGTTGGTATCCACCTATTTGCTGTTCAGCCAAACGGTGCAGTGAGGACCAAGATGAACAGTGTAACTAGTCGTTTTCTCTTCCCACTCTCTGCTTACGCACCAAAAGACTGCACTTTGGATGAAGTGAAGGATGAGTTCAGCTGCCAACTTTCTAGCCTCCTATGGAAAGCGTAGGTGACCTCAACGCACAAGTGGGTAGGTTAAGTCAGGTAGATGTACACACCTAGATGGGGCTTTCTTAATCTCAGCAGTACGAATAGATAACGACGATCGTCTGCTACAACTGTGTTCAGATAACCACCTGTTTTTGGTCAGCACAAGTTTCAGACACAAAAAGCCACACTGTCAGACGTGGCGTCTACGGAGCTAAACTGTGATTCAATTGCAAGGGGAAGGATTAGAGAGATGAGCAGAACACTTTAAGGAATATTTCATCTGGCCTCCAGTCACTATTACTTTCTCTGCTATCCAGTTGGATCCTGCCTGGAATACTCAAATTGGCATGCCAACTCCTGTTGAAGTTGCATGGCTGTGAGTGACTTGAAACGAGGGTGGGTAGCAGAGCTAAATAGTTTAGGGTAAGTAATATTCAAGAACGGTGATCAAGGATTATTGGTCAGTTTAAGTCAAGCGTTAGCTGGCGTATAGGAATCGTTATGAGCCCATTTAACTTATCTCGATGTATAGCTGTCCACGTCTTCAAAAGACGAGAGACATTCTCTTATCATAACCACTGGGGGATCACAGAAAAATGCTTAGTGATCTATAGTACACAGATTACAGTTCTTTCTAGATAAAAACGCTAGAAAGATGAAGTCTTATTGACACCTGGAATGCGAATTTGAGAATATTTGAGACGCGTTCTTGATTTCCCATGACTAGGCTGCATTTTTACCATGTCTAATAATTGGAAGCGGAGTGATTCTGCTTACCGGCCACTTGATTTACCTAGGGAGTTGGATTATCCGTTGCGGGTCAGTCAGAGAATGAAGAAATATCCGATGAATACGAAAGGTTGCTCGACCTTTGCGAAATCACACCATTTATTACGCTTCCTTTATATGCAGTTGCTTACTAAGATCTGATGCACTGGAGTATGTTGTTTTCTCGCATATGGCTGTTAAACAGCTGTTAAAGGTAGACGATATGAGAATGCTTCAGGTATTCGTTCTTCGTTATTTTAGTAGCATAGACTATATTGTGTTACCCCCATGTTAGTTGTTTGGAAGTCATGTGTAGAGGTAAGTGTAAGAGGTAGGTTTGCTGATGAGGTTGTAAAACTTCATTGATTAAGATATCTGGGATATGTTATATATGCCTTAACGCCATTTCGGCAGTCGCACAATGATTGCTGAAGTAGGCATAAACTAAGCAAAGGTTGAAGGTGGTCAGATTAAACATTGTATCAGTCTATGTAGTCTGTGACTTAGCCTGAGCCGTGTAGAGGGAATTGAAGTTCCCGACCAGAGTCGATGTACATCTACCGCTTTTGAACGCTTTACTTCTATTTCTTTTACCCTGACGCCTTCTACCTAGATATTCTGATATGAGGCATGGCAATCCAAACTGTTACACAGTAATACCGAGGTCCTACGTTAGTTCTTAATGACTTACGCTAAGAATGCGAGGAAACATTTACTTCACACTATGTACATATGGGGGGATTTTTCAATTCACAATGAAATTTCATCAATGACTTATCTGTATAAATCAAAATGAGAATCAGAGAACGCCACCGAAACGTAATATTTATTTTATAGGTTATTATTGTTTGCATACTTGAAATAGTTTACTAAGTGCTTATGGGAGTGAAAAAGTAATCTCTTCATCAGTTTTTGACAGTAATTTTGCAGACAAGTAGGAAAAAGGTACCTCAATTTGCGACTGATGGGTAGCAAGTGTCTTATGTCATAAATATGAAAAGAAAATAACTAAAATCATTAAATAACTCTATGTTCCCTTCAACATATGCACCTTTTGCAAAATATTTCAGTCGATGACATTATATCACTAAGATTTTTGTAGCTTTGATACATTTTGCGAATATTCCTTCAGGTATCGCCAACAGCAGTTACTTTTAGATGCTGAAGATCGAAGAAGAATGCTTCTTGCTGAAGAAGAGAACAAACTCCGTGAACAACGTAAAAGGTAAGTCATTTCACTTTATTGAACGTTACGCTTCATCTCTCTCACCGAATATAATATGTACAAATGATGGTTTATTTTTAAAGAAACTCTTAGATGTGTTCTAAACCACGCGGGATCTATAAACAGACATGATGATGTAGAATCCCTTAATTAATATTAATGGTTCATAGTAATGTAGTTCCTACAGCAGGAAAAACTAAACCAGGAAGAGGCAGAAAAATATTTAAATAAACCAGACCAACATGGATAGATGGGGAATAATTAGATATCCAGTCACGAAACGTCCAATTAAAGAGAAAGTGTAATCTCAATCAAAATAAAACCTGGTTTTGATTTTACGCCATTAAACCAGTATTTCACTTAACTGTCTTATGAATTACAAGTAGGTTATTGTTTTCTAATATCTACACTTAATACCGAACTAATTCTTTTTGTCTCAAAGCAAAGCCTCTGGAAGGAATTTAATTGATACACCGGATTCTAGTTGGTTGTCACTTGCATAATAACTGGATAAAACCCTGATCATTTAAAGTGAGACTGAAGTATAGTCAGTGGAGTACACAGATTTAGTGCTATGAAGAATACTAGTATACGTTCGGTCATGACTAGAGACGTTACCTGTAGATATTAGGTATCCGCGTGATCCTTTTTATCAAATCAGTAGCAACTGACGGAACATGCTTTTGTACAATTAGTGTTAAAAAATGAAAAGCAAAATAGTATAGTAAAATACCATTTCCTACTGCTCATAAAAATTTTAAAACGTATTATGACTATCCGTTAGGAGATGTTGAATGTTTGAGTACTAGCCGTCGCGTTTATTTTCATACAAACTGCATATTTTTATGTTTGGCTGGTGTGATTGTATCGCAGGTTGAATGCCTTAATTCGTGAAGTGAAATTACATGAATTAAGTTTGGCGGAAGAATCTCGTTGTCACTTCAGAAAGCTTGATATCCGACGTCGCCAGTGTGAACTGAATAAACTAGAACAAGAATTAACTCGGCTGGTAAGTTGAATGGTTTTCGAATGTCTTTCGTGATGAACCGGAAGGACTCAATTTACAATATGTCTTCTTATTGTGACGTCTTATGTTAAGTTACATTGTGTCCTATTTTCTCGAAGATGCAGTCCAGTCTTTTTGTGCCTGAAGTGATAATGCTTGTAGTGTCGTTCATTTACATTATGATGTTTCAAAAGTAACATCTTTTTATGTTTTTTGATGATCATGAATAAAAGTGGATGAATTGAAATGCATAATCAAATCATTAAAAATTCTTCTTTCGCTGAAGTTATACTGAGAATATTTTATCAATTGTCCTAAAATTCCTGATGGGAATGTGAGTTAAATCACCTATAAATCCAGCATCGAAATGTCCGCTGGTATATTATTAGTTGTCTATGATTATTACAAATTTATTTTAGGAAGCATTTTTCAATTTTCATTGTAATACGGTCAGTTGATAGATACAATGAAGTCATCAGTAATCTCAAGAGGTAATATAATGATTAACATTAGAAATGTTATGTGCTTTTAAAAAGTAATAAAACGCGTATCAGTACATGTCTATGCAACATATACGCCTTTTGAGTATGTAACTGTGAACTATCCCAAAGAAATGAAGAGAATTTCATGTCTGGGATCAATAAATTAACTCATGGATAGGATATTTGTGTTATAACTCTGCATATTAGTCTATCCCTAACTCGGTACATTCAAGTTTAGAAGGTTCATCCTTGAGAGGTACTTATTTTACCCTTATAAGACAAAAGAATAAGTAGACTAATAGTTTTTAGTTATCCACTTGAAACACTCTTAATTCAGGACCATTTTTAATACCAAATGTCTGCCCAATATCATGATTGTAACATTCTTTGAAAAGCTACTGTAAGAAAAGTATTTTTAGCGTGTTTGAACTCGCAGGTGCGCAACAATAAGTCAAAAGTTCTCAAAAGGTGATTAAAGTTCTCATTCTTATTCATAAAATTAATGTAAGTAATTACGATTTCCAGCATACTAAAATCATATCATGGTTATTATTACTCTTCATTATGTATTAACTCACATCTTATTTCAAGACTAATTGTCGTGTTGATGAAATGGATGCAGCAGCATATGCTGCGGAACTAGCCGATCTACGTGAAAGACTGAATCAAAGACGTGCGGAAAATCTGGCTACAATGAATGAACAACTTCATTTTCAAAATGACAAGGATTTGATGTCAAACAATGGTTTTCCATTTTTGAGGTGTCATTCAGATATTAATGGTTCCGTTCCACCTGATAGAGATCATGAAAAACGGGTGGATGAAGATCATCCTGACAATCTTAACTATGGAAAAACATCAGCATTTGATGGTAATCTTGTTACAAACTTTGACAGTAACGATTCCTATAATAAGGTAAGTCCATTAAAATTTTTATTTGTTTTCACGTTGGTATATTCGGTAGTAGTATCCATCGTGAGCCATACACCTCGAATATATGATTATTAAAGGAACATCTACTTTTACTCTGACGGTACTATCCTATGTGTACTTATTCTCTCTCTTTTTGATATTCTCCTCTTGCTTTATCTAGGCATTGCTCCATACTGTTGAATTTTGTTTACTTTGAGGTCTAAAGAGTTTAACAAAGTGACTTTCTTCATTGTTTTTCTTGATTCAATGTTATTTTTCATCAATCAGACATTTAGATTTTTTTAAGAAGCTTGTAAATATGGTTTACTAAATGATGAATTATCTTATTTGTGCAATTTGGATGGATTGTAGTATCTATTATTGTCTTACTAAATTGCGCGTGATGTCAACTAATTTATAGTCAATGTAGCATTGTGATGAACATTTTCTTAAGATAGGCGTCATTTTATTTGGCTACCATATTTATTTTCAAGAAGTGGATGAAATTTTGTTCATTTATGACTGAATATTATGGTCACTACCCAGACATAATGGCTTAAAAATTATTTTTTTCATTATGTTAAAACAGTTACTAGGTAATTTGCGTACACAATTTCATTTACGAAATTATGTAGGAGTTCGTTTTTTCTGTGATTAAAAGACATGTGAACAAGGACTCCGAAATAGTATTGGAAGTAAATTGAAATGAAGAAACAACTGTGGACTCAAGTGTCTTCTCCCGATTTCCATAACCAAACCTTCCAATACTGTTTATGAGTCCTAGTACACGTGTCCTTTAATCACAGAAAGAAGAAAAACTCCTAAGTGAAATTGTGTACACGAACCACATATATATATATATATATATATATATATATATATATATATATATATATATATATATATAGAGAGAGAGAGAGAGAGAGAGAGAGAGAGGATGGTATCATAAAGTAAATATATGTTACAGGATGATTTTAATTGGCAAACAGCGTCTGAACTTCAATACAGTAAGAGTATGAAAATGATTTATAATGTGTTATTTAGTAATATCGAACTCAGGCATGGAGAGGATTCTTTTTGGTATTGTGTTCTCTCAGCTGGATTGATGACTCGTGAAGCTTTCGTTGTCATTCTAGACAACACTATCAGCACAAACTTCAGAAAAAAAGTGGGCGATACGATTTTCTCCGCAATCTATGGAGTAACTTGTCCTGATAACCTTTTGTGTGTGATTCTTTTTTCACAGTTTCAATATGTTTAAAAGTCTTCAAACAAAACGCTCGTACTCACTATCTTCGAAATCCGTCATTTCTGCTCTTTACTAAGGTTGCTCCTTATTACCTGCATGATTATTTACAACAGCTTATAAAAAGTGTACACAAATTTCAATTATTGTAATTTGCTATTGCTGAAAGTCCCTAACGCACTTGACGTTATAGATTTAAATCGATAGACAGTTTGCTTTTAATGCAAATTACATTAAATTGCCTGTGAATTCAAGGAACTAAAAAGCTTGCTTCAAAGAATGTTGACAGAGTACTTTTGTTTGCAATCAAAACTTTCTGCTTAGTAGTCACGATTAACTAATACACAATATATGTAAAATGAAGCGCCAGAATTCGTATTTATTAAATGATCTTTTGACTCACTGGCTTTCTTGTGATTCGAGGATATAAATGTAAATCAAAACATTTGATAATGTTCTGTCTATCCACTTTTTAATATTTTTATTTTCTCTTTAGGTGTCTCGGTTAAATTCTACAAAGATTTTCCCATTCACATCGACTAAACTTGATCCAGGCTCCATCAAACAGTCATTATAAATCAGTTGTATAGAGCCTCTGTTCCATCCTGTTGATCAGAAGGAGTGATACTGCAATTGATAGTGGTTCAAGGAGACTGAGTGTATTGCTGATAAGAATGATGGTATCAGGCATGTTAAAATGGTCTTGTAAAGATATGGTCTGACGGTAATCAGCAACGTTTTCTGTTTCGAAAGTTGTTCCGAATATTATCTTTTACAAGATCCAAATAAGTGATAAAATTCATGCAATCATTGCTTATTTTAATGAATTGCTTCGATTTTTTTAATGCCTAAACTACTGATATTTTCTTTGTGAATAGAAAGCGAAATCTGTAAGCTAAATCGCATTCTCAAAATATCATCAACACCCCTTATTTAACTGATTTATAATCACAAATGAATATACTGTCACGTCTATGTGACTTAATTTTCTGTCCTTTTAACAAAATTATCTATAGTGGTTTCCAGAAAGGTGAAACAGTGGCTCTCTATTCCATTGCCTTTACCCACTGAATAGGTGCTTCTTCACTCTAACAGATGTAATTATGTTTTTGTATTTTAATACCTTCACAACGTCATAACACAGTAATTTTTAATAATGCTTGCTCAGTTCCGGAAAAGCATCAGTGGTTTCTGCGTCTACAAGCAGTGGGCCACTGGCTCGTCATTTTGTAAAATTAGACTTATACAAAGAAGAAGAAAATTTTGGTTGACGATAGCCTTATATGTAGGCTCATGCCAAGGCTGTATGTATCTACCGAATCTGTTTCGAAGGATTCTAGTGCGGAAGAGTAAACCAATTTTAGAGGAAGAAAATCCCAGTGTTTAAAGTCTTTTAGCGCTTAAAAGTTACATCTATTAGCCACCCATCTATGTTCAGTTTTTAAAACTTGTGTTAGAACTTAGCTAATAATAAAGCTGGTGACTGTGCATTTAAAATGTTTCTACGAGTTCACCTCTTTGTTACCATTTCTAAACCTATAGGTTATGAGCTTACATGTGTTTCTGACTTTAAAACTTGAACCGATTTATTGCACCACCTTCTAAGTTTTTGTCGTTTCGAGGTAAATAAGTGGGGACCATTTTCGTGATAAGAATACCTGTTTGGGAAATCTTCATCGGCGGGATCAAATGCTTTTGAAAAATTAGAATTAATCTGATCGGTTACGCTAGTTAATCTATCTAGTGTGGTGAGCCGATCAGTAATCTGAATATGCTTCCTGAATCCGTGTTGCTAAGGTCCAAACGAATCCGCCGTTATCAGGTATTGGCGCAACCTGCAACAAATTAGCAACTGCATCACTATGAAAAACGCAGATGTGTCATAAGCCTGTATTTCACTAAAGTACTAATTTAACCGCCTATGAAGGTGCCTGTCAAACTGTTCGCCTTCCATTGTTCAAGTATTATATTGTTTTTTGTGGAATGAATAAGTAGCAATCTTGAGGTTTCAGCAGAAGTGAGGGTTGTTGTTGAAAGAGAGCAGCATGGATTTTATTCAGAGGTGGACCCCACTTTAGCAGTACCAGCTTACGTTGTGCCAACTAGACACAGAGATCATCGGCTACTGTTTCAGTAGGATACCCATATTTAAAGTTAAAGCGAATTATCATTCATTGAGCTGCGTTATGACCAACATGCACTTGACAAAAGGATCCAGAAGCCACACTTCCAGAACTGGTACGGATAGCAGGTCGCATTATGGCGAGCACAGCCGCGCAGTACACTATACTGGTGAGACGAAGTCCAGCTTGGGTGCCAAATGAGCGCAGTCACGCTACAGACAGCTAATAATAAACAAGCATCAACGTTTAGACGAAAGGCCATAACCCTGGACCTCTGGGTTTTCATTATAGTAGATCTAGCATACTGGGTATAGATTTCTTGGGAGATATGAATTCCTAGTAGACAGGGAAATTCAGCTTCATCACATCCTTAGACCTGGCACAATATCCTCCACTATCAGTCGAACAGTTCAGAAGTATGTCTTGGCGGATTCGCCAGGCCTGACGTCACCCAACGCACAAACCTCTGACGTATGCCCCAAGGTCAAGCGCAGCATAAAAAGGACTCCGGGGGCTAGCCCTAGTCAAACTGAAAATCCCCGGGTCTGGATTTGATTACGTGCTTCAATTGGGCACCTCCAAGCAGTCAGTGAGCTTCCTCATTACAAATGCTGCCCAAGGAACATCAAATAGACCGGCGATTATAGAGCACTAAAAAGCAAATCACTTCTGACGGGTACCCAGTACCTTGTATTCCAGATTTCAATTGACTTAGAGGTCTGCGCTGATCACAGTATTACCGTGGTCGAAGAAGACTTCCTAAAAACAGTCATCACTACTCTATTTGGTTTACAGAAATTTGTGCAGATGCCTCCTGGCCTTCGGAGTGCTGCAAGACCTTTTCAGCGGTGTAAAGATGATCTTCCACCAGATTTAGCATTTATCAAATCATACATTCGTGATTTACTGATTGTCGGTCCATATATTCACTCACATCAGGATCACATAGGAGCAGTTTGAAAAACTGAACGTCAAGGTCATGGGAAGAGATCAAAGTAAATGTGTCTCCGGAGTTCAGACCATCGAATTCCTAGGAAGCTTGTTTAACAGAGAAGGAACATCATCATTGCCAAAAGAGGTAGGTAGTATTCACCAATACCTCCATAATGCAACTAAAAAGTTTTCTTGGTCTAATTGATTTTTATCGCCGATTCTAACCACATTGTGCACAGCACTTGCAATCCCTAACTGACGAAGAAATCCTAAGGACTTCTGGCTCTCAGAAGCTGTCGAAGAGTTAAAAACAGCCCCAACAGAGGCTAAAATTCTAAAATACCCTGACGTCAGTGCACTATCAGTAACTATGGCCAGCGCTCCCGATGAGGTTTAAGGAACAGCACTCAGTATGCGGAAAACCATTGGTGTTCCTTTCAACCTACGAGCAATATAAGACTCGTTGAAGGCATGCAAATTTGCGTCGCTAACGCTCTGTCTGGAATTAATGCAAATACTACTCATGAGTCCGCTATAGATTTCCAGGGTTTTGCTGCAAATCAAGAAAAAGATGAGAAATTTACTTACTGTTAGTAGCTGTAGCCTGAAACTTAAGCAGTTACCACCCAAAGATGACAGACTTGTTTAGTGTGACACGACAAAAGATTCACCTAGGCCTAAAGTGACTGAAAGTATGAGAAAGGTGGTATTCACTCGTTGTCGTACTCTGGAGCAAGTCTCCTGCCAATTTATTTTTAATACATATATTTGACTCAACTTGTAGCGAGATGTACGAAATTGGGCTTAGGAATGTATAAGATGTCAACAGTTTAAAGTAAACCGGCGTACATCCTCGCCTCTAGGAGCGTTTTCGCAACCAGGTTTGCGTTTAGCAGATGTACACCTGGATTTGGTGGGCCGTTTGCACCATTCTAGCTGTTTAACGCACCTATTCATATACACTGATAGATACACAAAGTTCCCACTACATTGGTAAAAACCTTATCTGTTGTGATGCCCCAGTTTTGTACAAAACATTGTTATTGATCTGAACATTTTAACGTGTCATTCCCACACCATTTTTTGACTAGTAGTCTACTTTCTACCCCATTGTAATGTAAACCGCTTATTGGTTAATCTTTACTCTTATTATGCAAATTCCTCGAATTGAGGAAAAGGTCATTTTTCATATGTATCCTTATTCACGTGTTTTGGATTGAGTGATTATCATATTCTCGGAGTGAACTCTTCCATCATCCAGCTTCGGTCTTCTCTTTATTCGCCCAGGGATTGCAGTCAGTGGTTCTTGCGTACTAAGTTAGCTGTCAGCTAAGTGTGCGTATTATATTCGTTCCGGGACATATATATAACTAATAGCTTTCAAAATCATAACATTCTCACAGCATGGAGTGTCGGTATCTAGTGTTCCCGTAACGACCACCACCAGTGTAGGGGGGTAGTTTGGATTGGAGCTATTTAACAAATTAGGTATACTTCTGGGTTCTAATCAAATTCATTGTACAGAATACCATCCATAGGCGGAGAAAAGCAGCAGCGGAAACTGTAAGAGTGATAACTTCCCTGCACTTAAAGTTATCGAAACTCTAGGGATTAAGTTTGACACAGGTGAACGACGCGTCGGTCAACCATACTAACAACCTCCCATGTCGTCTAGTATCATGGAGACATGGTAGGTAATTCCCGACACGACTCTTGTACGTTTCTGAAGTTTAGTATGGGAAAACCTTAAGAATACGACGACTCCAGTCTATGGTGCGATAATCAGCAGCCACAATTTGTGGCCTTAGTCAGAACTCCTCAGGAAAATATCAATCGCCACAGGAATGGAAGTGTTCCATTTTCTTTTCCGACTTCAAAGGAATACGAAAATGGTTACCCAAGTGCTGTCAGTCCGGAGCAGTTCAGCAAATATTTTCACAACTGGACAATCTTATAGGGGAACATTCGGAGAGTAAGAGTGCACCCTAGAAAGCTAAAAACTGCCTCTGAAAGGGTAGATCCTATGGCCCTACTTTTTAAGCAGCAGGAGTAAGTGATTCCAAGGTTTTTTCGCAGCGTCATATATCTGCAAGCGTAGTGTTCCTGCTGGGTGGGATTTATTGAGATGGAGGATGTCACTTTTTGGGTTTAAAGGGAGCTGCCAAGTCACGCTGCATTGGAATGCTCACTTCAAATCTTGTTTTTGAGAGAAACCCTGTGTTGGTGATGGGCGATAAAAGCTGCAGACTATCTTCAAGTCGTCTGCGAGAAGGTAAGGTATGCCATTTCGGATAACGCCGCAGGTGTCGTTTACATAGATTAGGAAAAGTAACGGTCCTAGCACACTACTCTGGACGAGACCACTTTATTCAGGTTTAGGGGAGGAGTGGCAATTACTGAATCTTACTACTTGGAAGAGACCCTCTTAGGATGTTCCAAGCCAGGACGGTAACGGGTCATGGAAACCACGTGATTGCAACTTAGTGAACAGGCGTTTGTGAGGCACTATCGAATGCCTGCT